GGGAAAATATTCCATAAACTTAAAATAGGCAAGACTTAATTAATAGCATGCTTTGTTCTTCTGATCCATATCTGTACAGGAAGACACACCCCTTTTCAGTTTGTAGGTCAAGGTGAAACTGCCTCTGGGGGCTCAAATAGCTGCTCATTTTCCGCTTTTGAACTCTGGTTCCCTTTGGCTTTTCCCTCTCCTGGTTGAAGGGTTTTTCCCAACTCCTTAGCCTGAGCACTTCACCAAGGCCTTTGCAAATTGCCAGTATTACATGTTATAATTATTTCTTCTCATATAATTAATAGTCACTGTGCACCGAGGACCTACTATGGGCCAGGCACTCTATTAAGGGCTCCTAACACCCTTCTATGGTGGGTGTTAGAATTATTTCCATTTTATAGATGAGAAAACTGAGAGGAGAAATGACTTTCCCAAAGCCATACAGCTCTAAAAAGTGGAGCTAGGCTTTGAATCTGGGGCTCTGTGCCTCTAAACATCCATGACTAATATTTAGTGAGCACTTAGCTGTGGGCTCAAAAGTCTCACAATGCTAGCTTTGAAAACATATCATTTTAATCTTCCTTGTTTAAAATATATCTTTTTATTTCTCATAATCCTGGAAGGTATGTACGTACAATTCTCTCCATTTCATGGATTGGGAAACAGGCTCAGAAAGCTGAATTCATTTACTCGAAGTCACACAGTGATTAATGGTGGAGCTATGATTTGCACCAAGCTGTGTCTGATAGGTAGCCTGGCTCAGGGGAAAAGTAGTAGATTAGAAGTCAATAAAAACAGATTTTGGCTCTTCATTGTGTGGGCAAATTACTTAACCTTCTGAACCTTAGCTTCTCATCTGCAGAATGAGAACACTATTTGCCCAACTTCTTGAGGTGGTTGTGAGAATCAAACGGTTGGGAACCAACAGCAGTCGAGAACCTGCTCAAGTAGGGTCTGAATTTACATGCCTTATCCCACAAATAGAAAAAAATAATTTGCGTTCATTGGCTTCTTTCATTTTGAAACAACCTCATTTAATCCTTAAACTGTGAAAGGTCTGATCTTTAAAACTTTTTAAAACAGTTTTTAAATTAATTTATTTTAAATTATAGTTGACATACAATATTATATTAGTTTTAGGGGTACAACATTGTGATTCAACATTTGTATATAAAATACCTTACAAAGTGATCACCACATTAAGTCTAGTAACCATCTGTCACTATTCAATAGTTATTACAATATTATTGATTCTCTTCCCTGTGCTGTACATTACAACCTGTGACTTATTTTATAACTGGAAGTTTATACTTCTTAACCTTCTCCTTTTCTGTCTAACCCCCACCCCTCTCCCCTCTGGCAACCATCAGTTTGTTATCTGTATCTAAGGTAAGGTGGATGATCTTATTTGCATTTTAGGAGAGAAGTGGTTAGAGAGAAGTCACAAAGCTGGGAAGCCACTGAGAAGGGAACTGAACCCAGATCTGTCTGACCCCCAAATCTTCATTCCTGTCACTCCACAGAGGGAAAATCCTCCATCCTGAAAGGGTACTGAAGAGTTTGAAGTAAATTTATTTTTAGAGTAGTTTTAGGTTCACAATAAACTGAGTGGAAGGTACATAGTGTTCCCATATTAACCCCTGCACACACACACCGACTGCCCCTACTATCTACAACCCTTGCCAGAGTGGGACACTTGTAACAATCGATGGACCTATACTGATATATCATTATCACCCAAAGTCCAGTTTACGTTAGGGTTCACTTGGTGTTGTACATTCTATGGGTTTGGACAAATGTATAATGACATGTACTCCCCTTTACATTATCACACAGTATTTTCACGGTCCTAGAAATCCTGTGTTCTGTCTGTTCCTCTCTCCCTGCATAACCCCTGGCAACCACTGACCTTACTGTCCCTATAGTTTTGCCTTTTCCAGAGTGTCATATAGTTGTAATCATACAGCATATAGCCTTTTCAGATTGGCTTCTTTCATTTAGTAAGTAATATGCATTTATGTTTCCTCCACGTCTTTTCATGGCTCGATAGCTCATTTCTTTTTTTTTCAGCACTGAATAATATTCCATTGTCTGGAATGTACCACAGATTATTTATCCATTCACCCGAAGAGCATCTTGGTTGCTTCCAAGTTTTGACAATTATGAATAAAGCTGCTGTAAACACTTGGGTGCAGGTTTTTGTGTGGACAGAAGTGTTCAACTACTTTGAGTAAATACCAGGGAGTTTGACTGCCAGATCTCATGGTAAGAGTATGTTTGGTTCTGTAAGCAGCTGCCAAGTTGTCTTCCAAAATGGCTATAACATTCCCACAGGCAATGTATGAGAGTTCCTTTTGCTCCAGATATTTGAAGTAATTTTTGCGTAAAACCAGCCCCAGCTGAAGGAGGTGGAAATGCAGCTACTCAAAGTGTCCTTGGGTTCTCAGAGATGACCTTCTACAGCAGGCAGGGGAAATTGGATGCTGGAACCCACTGTCCAGAGAGAAATGGCCTGGGGACTGACACCCTTCTCAGCTTTCCCAGTGCTCAGACTCCCTGCTTTGTGGTCTGCCAGCCCCAAGAGCAGGCCTGGGGCTATTTGGGGACTCCTGTAGGTCAGTGTCTTAGGATATAATCTTGTTTTGGGGTCAGGCCCTACAGTCTGGCTTGGCAGCTGAAACCCTAACTCCTTTGCCTCCTGCCTCCACCCCCATCCCAGCTCTGAGTCCTGCTCTTGATATGCCTTCAGCTGTGAGAGAAACTTGACTCCCTCCCCAGACCCCAGTCACTCCTTGCCCCTGGAAGATTGGCCCTGAGCTAGACCTTTCTGATGAGAACCCATTCTGTAGGCACTAACTTCTGCTGGCAGGAACAATGACTTCCATTTGAAAAATGCTGGCCCCTATCCCTCTGGGTTTCAGTTTTCTCAATTATAAATGGGGAGAGTGAGTTATGGGGCTCTCATAGGGTGTAAGACTCTCATGAGATAAGGCCACACAGTGAGAAAGTGCTGGAGCGGGGATTGGAACCTAGGCAGTGTAACTCAGATCCCATGCTCATCCTGCCTCCAAGGTCTCAGAACTTGCATTTTACCTAAGAGGTAGCCTTATTTACAAGCAGATGAATCTCAAAAATGGGGCCAGGCTCCTCAGTACAAGGGTGGCTCAGGCAAGAATGGAAGCTGAAAAGTCCAGTTGGGGCTGGCCAGGAATCTTGTTCACCTCCAGTGACCAAGGATCTAGGGGACTGAGAGAAGGCTTAAGGTTAAGGTTTAATCCGTATTTGTGATAGTTTTCTCCTGGACTAGGCTGCCTTGAGGATAAAATAAATGTGAGCTCCTGGAGGCAGTGTGGTATGTGGCTAGAACGCTGGCTCTGTAGGTCAAGTGCCTTGGTGGGTGGGGGGAGGAAGCCCCCATCACCTCTGCTCTGAGGGCTATTCAAGCTCTGACTTGTTAGGTTCCTCCAAAGATGACAGTTTTCAGAGAGAAGAAAGTGAGATTAGAAACCCAAATGCAGGGCCCCAGAGAGGCCTTGGGAGGGGAAACATGTCTGCGGGAGGGGAAACACGTCTGCAGGGGAGGGGGGAGGGAGCAAGTCCAGGTCCTTGCAAAATAGGCAGTGGTGGGGGAGTAGTGGGACCAGGAGGGGCCAGTCCAAAAGTTACTCCTGTGAGGTCTGACCTTGGGACTGGGGAAGGAAGTCTCGTGCTGTTAAACTCCCTACCAATGCTATTTCGGTACCCCATTTTGTTCCTTTTTAGCAATTATCACTGTTCTAACTAAACAATAAATTGAGTAGTGGGACTGATTCTCATGCAAGATGCCCGGTTTGTTTTTTCCTTGCGGCTCAAGGCTCACTGCCTGGCACCTAGTAGGGAGGGTTGTCATTTAAAACGCAAAAAGCCCAGTTAAATTTGAATTTTAGACAATATATAAGTATGTCCCATTTGTTTATCGGAAATTCAAATTTAACTGGGCGTCCTATATTTTTTTTCTGCTAGAATGACGACCCTGGTAGTAGGGGCTCTATAAGTATTTCCGGGACAGATAAATGGTTTTTTGCTTTGGCTGTTCCTTAATCTTGCAGTGTGAGTGACTCTTTGGACAACACTCCACCCTTTTCTCTGGCCTGTTTCTCTATCTGAAAAGCAGGAGTTCAGGTAGCGACCACAGCGCAGGGATAGCCAATGTAGGGGAGCCCTGCGTGAACTGCCAAAGAGCGGACAGGGAGCTTGGGTTCTGCCTGTGCGAGACAGACTGAACCTCCAGCCTGCACGGCGGGGGAAGCCCCAGCCCACCCCGCCCCCTCCGCCGCTGGGGCTGGCCAGAGGCCGTCGCCATGGAGACACGGGTAATCTGGGACCCCTCCCCCACAAAGCCACGCGTTTCCGCTGCGTTGGAGCATTCTGATTGGATAGCCTTCCGGACGCTACCACCAGCCTCGAGGCCGCTAAGGGGCGGGGGAGGGTTTTTGCCCTCGTGGGACTCTTGTCCTGAAGACTTGTGCATGTGGCCTCTCTAGAGGAGGATGTGTTCTCTGCCTCACGCGGGGAAAAAGACTGAGTCTCAGGTCGGAAGAGTGTCCACTGCTTCTATTAGAGTTTATGTTCATGCTCCCTGAGAAAGAGGGGGCGGGAAAGTCGGCCACGCCTCCTCTAGAGCCTATTCGGTCCCAAGATCTGGAGCACCGGAAGTGCTGGCGACGTGTCGGTGCGCCCTACCCTAAACGTTCCTCCTTAGGCTACCTTTCCTATTCAGCTGAGGGATTCCGGGGCCGCCTGGGCACTGCACCCCGCCACTTCCGTATTGAACCGCCACTTCAACCGAACTCCCAACCTCCGCGCGCTCCCTCTTGTGCCTGATGGTTGGGCCGGCGCCGGGCAGTAGCCACGCCCTCCCCCAAGCCTGGCAGCCAATGGGCAGGCATCTCCCGGCAAGGTATTGGGTATTAATGAGGGCCGAACGCTGATTGGCTGCAGCGTCGTGGCCGGGGCTGGGCGGCGGGGTAGGTTGTTCCAGAGGTGGGAGGCGGCACCCGTGGCTGTGAAGGAGGCCTGAGAGCGACATGTCCCCGGCGGCTGAGGCAGAGCGGCCCGTGGCGCTGTTTGTCTGAGTCCAGGGCGGCCTGGCGGCCGGCTGAGGAAGAGGGTCGGCGGAGGCTGCCCCCGCTGTAGTGGCCGCCATGCTGGGGGCCCGGGCAGCTGAGGGAGTCGCCGTGGCGCTTCTGAGGCTGCTGCTGCTGCTGCTGCTGTCGGCGCTCCGGGGGCCGGGGCTCGGCGTGGTCGGCACGGCGGGGGCTGGGCTGTCGGACAGCGTTATTTGGGCGGTCAACGCGGGCGGCGAGGCGCATGTGGACGTGCACGGGATTCACTTCCGCAAGGACCCTTTGGAAGGCCGGGTGGGCCGAGGTGAGAGACCCTCACGGAGCCGCGGGATCCCAGGCCTGCCGCGCTGGGCGCCGCCGGCCAAAGGCTGCGGGCCCTTAGCCTGCCTTGACCCTGGGGCCACGTCTCTGGAGCGAAGTTTCTTTCCGCAGTTTCCTCAGGGACCCGGTCACACCTCAGAGCCTGGCACTGACTGGAAGCCACCAAGAACCATTGAGGCAGAGAGTTGGCGAGAAGTTATATTTGGACCTCGCGTCCTGCATTTTCTTAACCCATAGCGTCTACTTGAGCTGGGGAAAAAAGTAAAGACGAGGGCGGCCTGTTGTCACCTCGAAGCCTCACGGTTGTAGGTTATCCGTGTCCCTGGCCCGGGTGGTTCTTCTCTCCGATCAAGTCAGTTCCTGGTAGATTCCTGCCGACCCAGACATCGGCCGCTTTCCTTACTCCTTTTGCAGGAGTGGGTCTTGATTCTTAGCCAGAATAGAAAGGAATCTTCGAAGAGGATGGGCCAGGAAAGTTTGATTGCAGCCTCCTCTCTCGCCCCCCTTTGGAGCGACGAATATATATGCTTAAAAGTAAAAGCTGCAGGCCGCCCCCAGAGGGTGGTTATATTGAAGCCATCCTGTGCTGGAGGCTGATGGTGTGTCTGCTGGGTCAGCCAGTGTAAATTCTGAATATTCCGTGTGTAGAACCTACCCTAAGTGGTCCAGAGAGGTATGATTCCAGCTTATGGGAAAAATGCTTTTGACTGAACTGACTGAGCAACAGTGGAGTGGTTTTCACAGAACTGCACAGTTCTCCAAGTTAGTGGGAGACTTGCCAGTGGAACTGGTTAAAAATGCAAACCCCAGACCTAGGAAATTAAACCCAGGTTTCTGTACCAGGTTTCATCCCCAGACCACTCTTTGGGAAATCTCCTCTAGACTCTTTCTTCTGTAAGTAGGATTGGAAACCAGGTTCAAGAAGAAGTTCTTTGCTTCACGTGTTAGAAGAAGATTTATGCTGTATGCTAAGTTCAGAGGCTGCCAAATTGGCAACACGCCATCTCCAGAAAACTAGGAGAGAGACTTTCTCGCACTGTTTCCACAATGCCCAGATTTGGCTCTTGCCTTCACTAAAGAGTTTAACTTAGATCTTCGAAGTTAATTGCAGTGTCCTGGAGTTTGTTATTTGAGGGAGTTTATGACTTCCATACGTGTGAGAGTCTTGGGACACAGGGCTTTCTGAAGTTCTATGTTTGTCTTGGAATTTATTTAGCCCTGGCATGTAAGTCTCAGAAGCTAGCCTGGGTTCAGCCGAGTCAGAGCCCTAGTCTTCAGCAGCTTTAAAAGCCCCAAAGCCAGACTTCATAGCAGGAGGCATTGCTGTCTCCATCCTGGACCCTTCCTTTTTCTTCCTGGGTGTGGGCAGTGCAGAAGGAGCCTAGAGAGGAAACTAGAGACCGTTTGTGGACTTTGCCTCTTGAGATGGCTGTGGTGAGGACTGTGCAGATGGTTCCTTTCACTTAACAGATACCAGGCTTTACATAGGTTGCATTATCCTTTTAGTTCCATTGTGCAGAGAAGGCAGTTAAGACCACACAGGTTTAGTCTCTAGCTACTCCTCTTATTCAGAAATCCTTGTTTAAATATGCTGGTGCAGGTGGCGTTTTTTTTGTGTTTTAGCGTGGTCGTGTTTTGGTGTGGTCGCCAGTCAGAGTTTATTTTAGCAAGTAGCATTACATGAGACCTACCAAAGCTTATGTGCAGTGGAGTCCTATCTCGACCTTGGCCTTTGGGACACTCACTCTGTCAGTTTGGTTTGGAATTGTAGTAGAATTAAGGCATGGATAAAGAGTTGAAGATGGTTGTTTTCCTGCAGCTTGGACCAACCTATTGCAACTTTGTACTTTTGGGTGCCTGAGAGTAGCATTTTGCTGGCATTAGGACTGGGGCTGAGATGTGATTAAGCTTCCACTCTCAGGAGTCAGGTCTAGGTCTCTGGTTTCTTCTGTGCTAAGGAGTGGCACCACCCAAGGAAGTGCAGCTGTTCACACTGCTCTGACACTGTTTGGATAAGGGTGTGCCAACTAGTTGGAGACCCTTGCCTCATGTAGCTAGCTATTCACACTGATTTCAGAAGGAGCTGTATGTCTTATATCTTTTCCCATGTGCTGTGGTACTGTTTCCAGCAAGATGAAGAAAGTTCATTTTATGTTGAATGGATTCAGGTATTTCTTGCTAAATTAATCCAGATAAGGGTTTGGCCTTTTGAGCTCGCATGTTTCTTTTTAGTGTTTTTGTAGTCCAGCATTTGTGTAACTGTGAGTGGCCCAGGGCACTTAGTGGCTTTTGCTTTCAAAGGCATTTTGTAATGTTTATATAATTTCATATCTGTCTTGAGGATAGTTAGTGTTAATAGGAGATATTGACAACCTGGGAAAGGCTTTTTTCAACCTGTGTGCTTCAACAGATGGAAGTACCATTACAGAAAGTGATTCAGAAGTGCTCAATTTGGGATTTTGGCATGCTGCACATTCCAGGTTCTTTTTAACTTGCTCATTCTGGGTTCCTCTTTACTCTGAAGAGGAAAAGACATGGTTATTTGGCCTGAGGGCTTGATTTTAGGAGAAGCTATTTCTTTTTCATAGAAAGATACCTGCTATTCATTTGTATTACCTTGAAGAATTCGCTTTACCTCTCTGAGCCTTATTTTCCTTCTTAATAAAACTTATGCTTTAGAAATTAGTGACATGGATCTGAAAACTCTCCTGCCAGGTTAAAGTGTCTCTATCTTTTTCTTTGCTTGATGACCTTTTACAGGGAATTAAAAGTAAGGCAGAACATGGCTCTGGAGGGGAAAAAAGCTGACTAGAGGCCTGAGCCTATCAGGTTACTAATTCCATAGGCCTAAGGAAGACCCTTTTGGGGCAGCCATCCTTTTAGCTGAGGAAGGATTTGGCCTTGATGAGATGAGTTTGAAAGATAGGATGCCTCTGATTTGCTTAGGGCCACAGAATTTGTTTAGAATTCTGTTCCAGTATTGTCACCTATGCTGTCACCTAAGATGCAGGCTTCATTTGCAAGCCCGTCAAGTAGCAGAAGTTCACAGAGACTTTAGGTAAGCAATATCCCCATTTTACAGGTGAGAAAACACCTAGAGAGAATAACTTGTTTTGAGTCACACAGTAGGTAGCAGAACCAAGATTCATCTCCACACCTGTCTTACTCTAAAACTTGGGCTGAATTTTTCAAGTAGCCTGGCTATTTCATTTTCTAGGACTAAGTAGTGGTAGACATAATGTAGGCCCTTTGGCCCCCTTCCTTTCTGACTTAACTGTCTGAGCTATATTGTGCCAACTTCAGCACTGTGCTGTGTACACTTCACTGTATTTTAGAGAAGTCTGATTAGCTGTGAATATATAAAGGCAAAGGAGGGAAGAGAAAATTCTTTATGCAGCTGTATATCTTGGGACTTGGGCAAATTCAACTTTGCATGTGGTAAATTCTTGGGAAAGCCACTGGGGCTTTAAAGGCAAATATTTAAAGGTAATCCTGAGGTTGTTAAGTACTTTTTGTTCACGTGGCTGAATGTTCTTAGTTGCGGGACTGAGACTGCCAGAGATTACATTACTGTCAGTTTCTCACATTTTCCACTTGGCAAGAAAAAAAAAAAAAAAGATTCCCTATTTTTTGCGTGTATCTAAAAAGCAAATCTAGTTAATGTTCCAAATTTGTAAGGATCACAGCCCTCACGGAAGAAGGAAATTCTTAGAACTCAGTTGGAAGAAAAATAGCAGTCTTTTAATTTTCATGGGTTTATGCCCAGTGTAATGGTTTGAGCCTGGGAAAGAGCTGGGGCATGTTAGCAGTACATCCTTTGTAGTGCTTGCTGCCCAGCTCCCCTTCTTTGATTTCTTGAGGAGAAATAGGAAGAAAAAAGTCCGAAGACAAAAGTGCAGTGAGTTTCTTGTAGCATTGTCTCATCAGTCCATCTGATCTCCTCTACTTTTCACTTACAGGAACTGTTAACAGTTATGTTTATTTTTTTTAAGGCTTGACCTTAGCCACTGTTACTCTTTAATCTCCCTTGGAGATACAAGATCCTTTCCCTTGGTGTTTTGATGATTCAGAAGTTAAAGCTCCAGGGATGGCCACTCTTAGACATCTCCCAAAGGATCTAGGTGCCAAATGTCTTCTAGGTCACTGTGTGGGAAATCTTGAAATCTTAATTCCAGGCTGGAGGAGAGACTACGCCTGTGTACCAAGATCACTGTTTGCAAAGTAGATTTACGGAGTACTGGGAAGCCTCTTTGTGTTTACAGGGTAAAGGAATCAGGCTACTCTCTGAAGGAGGAAGCATAACTCTTCATCTCTGCAGCTAGAATGTGGTATCTTATATTTGAGGAAAGACCCCAGTTTTGTTAGTTATGTTGGGGAAGAAAAACATACACTGTCTTGTCTCTTACCAAGACTGGGGGAGGGGTGGGAGCAGTAGAGATTTTCAGCTATTCTGATAAAGACCCAGCATAAGTATCTTTACTTTTACCCTGCTGTATTCCTTGTCAGTCTGAGATGGGAAAGCTGGCTCCCTCAGGACTTGGGCATGTTAAGCCAGAGGTGCCAATAGGACTCTTGGCAGATTTTCTTTCCCTGCTAGGGTGGCTCTAGCCCTGTGGAGAGAAGAGCATGGCTTCCCTGCTTTATAGACACCTCCTTTGTTGCTATTTGTTCATTCAGTAAGTCATATTGAGGTCCTGCTTAACATGCCAGGGACAATGTTAGGTGTGGGGAAAATACAGTAGGAACTTTTTTTCTTCTTTTGGTTTAACTGAGGGAGTATTCAAGGGAGCAGGTTGCACTGAGTTTTGTGTGTCTGTGAGAAGTAAGGTGCTTGGACCCAAAGGAAATTAGAGAGCATCACACCCTTATTTTTATGAGCATGTTTCTTTTTACCAGCCTTGGAACTTTTTGAATGAAATTATAAAAAGCAACTAAAGCTGTTATCTTATTTGTGGTAAAGACAATGAAGAATGACTTTCCTAACAGATATCCTGTTTTTTAGACTCTGAGCTTCGCTGAATGAGAAAATATTCTTTTGAACTTAATCATCTCGTAGAGTTCCTGGCCATCCCCCTTGTTTTATGAGGTCTCTCTGAAGCTTTCCCTTGCAGGGAACCAGGCAGCTGTAGCATAGTGCTTTGTTCTAATAAGGAGTTAGACTTGTTCTTTTCTTATCACTCTCCGTACAGTTGAGGAAAAGTCATTTTAACATTTTAAAAAGTTCTGCCAAGAGGGTTACAGGAGCTGTTGGTGATTAGCGTTTACTTTCTCTCGGTTTACTCTGACTTGGTAATGGCTGTGTGATTCTTGCCTTTGTGTCTGGTCTGTTTGGAGCCAGGTGCAGAGGGGGTGGCCCCTTTCACTGGGAGGGTTATTAGTATTGTGCTGGAAATGCCTCTGGCGATTCTAGGGTCTCTGGTGGTCTTTTATGTTTTGCCTCTGACGTGGTTTCTCTTTGTCTTTTGTCCCCAGCCTCTGACTATGGCATGAAACTGCCAATCCTGCGTTCCAACCCTGAGGACCAGATCCTATATCAAACAGAGCGGTACAATGAGGAGACCTTTGGCTACGAAGTGCCCATCAAAGATGAGGGAGACTATGTGTTGGTGTTGAAATTTGCCGAGGTCTACTTTGCACAGTCCCAGCAGAAGGTGAGGCCTGATCAGGCTGCCGCTTGACCAGTGGAACATTGCCACTCTTGGATAGTCCTCTGCTCTGGGCCAGAGAGTATACAAACCTACCCGGAAGGGAGGAACAGATGAGCTTTGAGGAAAAGCTAGATTCCTTTTGCCCCTAGGGAATTTATGTCCTATTGCCCATGAGGCTGCACTTGCCATGGGATTGGTGACAGAGGGTTATACCAGAATCCTAGTTCTTGGCAACTCACTGATTCTGTTAAGGCCCGCCTGGTTATCTCTCCCTACTTGCTTGTCAGCACCTTCTTGTTTTTAACCTTGTTCTTTTTGTGTCCTTTCTGTGAATTTCCTTCCCATGTTGAGTTTTTTGTTTGTTTTCTTTGTTTCCTAAGGCCAGTTAGAGGCCTCCTTGACAGTGAAGAACGTGGCTTTGGTTTGGCTCAGATAAAAGACGCTAGCCACCCCAGAATATATCCAGCCCTGTTATTTCTTAAATTATTTTTGAACTTGAAGCCCAGGCAGGTGTATAATTTCCACCTGCTGAAGGAGTGTGAAGCTGATGGTTTTGACACGGTCTTCTTTTTTCATCTTCGAAGGTATTTGATGTGCGATTGAATGGCCACGTGGTGGTGAAGGACTTGGATATCTTTGATCGAGTTGGGCACAGCACAGCTCATGATGAAATCATCCCTATGAGCATCAGAAAGGGGAAGCTGAGCGTCCTAGGGGAGGTGTCCACCTTCACAGGGAAACTCTACATTGAGTTCGTCAAGGTAACGCTCCTCCTCTGCCCTCCTCACCAAGGAAGAGCTCACAAGAATGGTGCGGGGGAATTATCTGCTGCTGCGCCGGGCTCACCACTGTTTCTCATTCCCTAGGGTTACTATGACAATCCCAAAGTATGTGCACTCTACATCATGGCTGGGACAGTGGATGGTAAGTTGTGTTTTTGATCTGCTTTTTGACTTGGGCTGGAGAATGTGGTTGAACAAACCCTTGGGGGATACTTTAGCTGTTCACTATTTAGAAAACTACTGTTACTTAAAGCCATATTGTGGTGAATCCAGAGTCAGATGTCTGGGGATGAATGTGATGTGGGGTGGTGCTAGCTCTAAGCTTTGGAGCACTGTTTTTAAATCTTGCTGCTGCTGTTTAATCAGCTGTTTGGTTTTGGACAAATTCCTTGAAATTCATTGTAAATTGTGATTAATAATGGTACCTATTGGTGTGCCCTGACCCTTTCTGTCATTTGGAATTGCCTAAAACTTGTACTTTTTCTGTTTTCTTTGACATTTATTTCCTGAGGGCAAAAAAGGAAAAGGGCAAAAGGAGGAATTCTTTAGTGTTTCGGTATGCTCTGAGAGATTCCAGCATTGCCAGACTACTCTGGACAAAAGTTCATTTATTAATGTCTCCTTGTGCTTATGATCCAGCCTCAGGGTATGTCTCTTTCTCAAGGTTGAGATTATCCCGGCTGCCGGCTTCCCAGGCTGATTTTTTAGAGAAAGCTTGTGTCTTAGTGACTTTTCTCCCCCATACCCGGTATGTCTCTTTCTCAAGGTTGAGATTATCCTGGCTGCCGGCTTCCCAGGCTGATTTTTTAGAAAAAGCTTGTGTCTTAGTGACTTTTCTCCCCCATACCACCTCTGCCTTTTCCCAATTCATCCTGAATACACTGAGAATCTCATCCTATTGTCTTGAGGTCCCCCACTTGCTGATATGATGACATCCAGGAGGCTGTCTTGACACCAAACAGATTCGTAGCTCGAGTCCCTAAGGAAGAGGCAGAGCAGAGGGGAGGGTAGTGTGTGCTGAGAACCCAGAACTCTGGATCAGCTTTTCCTCAGCAGCTTTGTGAATCAAAGGGGAAGGACGGATTATGGAAGGGGGGAGGAGGGACTTGAAAAGGTTAAGTTTTGGGTGTTGGGTCATTGACCCCAGTTAGATCATAGCCTCTCTTTATTGTGGCTCATTTCCTGCTCTTAAGGGTCTCACTTAAATGCTTGGGGGTCTTACTTAAAAGGTGTCCTCTTCCTTGTGTCAGATGTACCAAAGCTGCAGCCTCATCCAGGATTGGAGAAGAAAGAAGAGGAAGAAGAAGAAGAAGAATACGATGAAGGGTCTAATCTCAAAAGACAGACCAATAAGAACCGGGTGCAGTCAGGCCCCCGCACACCCAACCCCTATGCCTCGGACAACAGCAGCCTCATGTTCCCCATCCTGGTGGCCTTCGGAGTCTTCATTCCAACCCTCTTCTGCCTCTGCCGGTTGTGAGGACAAATTACCATCCTGAACAGGGTGGAGGGTGTGGGAAAGAAACCAAACGTGTTGGTTTGGTTTCTGTATTTTTCATGGTGATTAACACACACACACACACACACACACACACAAAATTAAAGGAGATAAAAAGAGGCAGAGTGAGTAGAGAGCAGCCCTTGTCCACCACCTGGTTCCAGACCCGCTTCAGTCCTAGTCCTCTCTTTGTGGCTGGCCCCCAGCCATCTCTTTCCTCTCTAGGGTACTTAGGGTAAACTGGGTCCTACCTGTTTAAGGATCCTCGTCTGTATACCTACTAGAAAGGACTCGGAAGTTGGAGCAGATGCCTTTTTTTAGGTTAGCAGTTGACAGCAAGGAAATGTCATCTTATTACCTGAGAAGACCAGTACTGGGAGTTGGGTATGTTCTGAAGTTATATCCAGATGTGTTTCCAGATGTCCTGGGATGTCTGTGGTTTGTGTGTCTGTGAAGGTGTATAATCTGTGTGATAAAGATGAAAATGGAAGGATTTTAAAAAAGAATGAAAATTAGATACTTCCTTACTTGGAAGCCTTTCTGGTTTTAGTCCAATGATGGTTTCACCTTAAGTGTTTGAGCTTTGTCATTGCTTGTCTCCCTGACATGTGCCAGTTTGAGGACTCTCTGGTATCCAGGACGATTAGTTTATGTCAGGTCCTCAAATTGCCTCTGACTTGTTACCACAACAAATCATTTTGATTTCAGTGCCTGTTGGGGACTTGATTTCCTCTCTCTCTTTCATCTGTCTGTCTTAATGTGGCTCATTTGAAATCTCTTCGCTCAACCATCCTACTAAATTATTGCCAAGAAGGGAAGAACACATGAGGACTTGGGGTTCCTTCTGCTTGAATGTCTTAATGTCTACCACCTCACCTTGAAGGTACCTCCCTCCCTGGATCTCTGAGCTGGCAGCCAGGAGGACCCAGCAGTTCTTGTACTGGCCCCTTTGTAGGGTCTTGCTGCCAGGGGTCAGGGATGCTTTCCAGCTCGCAGCAACAGAACACTTGATCTTAAGAGTCTCTTCTGGTCTTTGGATTAGAAAAGGCTTTTGTTAGCATAACTTAAGAACAACCTCAGAGACTTGAGCCCCACTAAGTGACTGACCACTGTTTAGAGTATCTAGTATCTGATGTTCATTCTTATGTCCTTGTCTGTCATGGTTCAACCAGTTTGGGGTTATGCCTAGAGTTGTCCAAGGAACTAGACTGATTGTCTGTATCTGGCCCAGTGACGCTGCTCATTGATCTTAATAGTATGCCCCTCTGACCTTTCGTTTTCCCGTCCAAGTAGCAGTCAGGTTCTTGGTGTGACAGGGCTGAAAGATTTCCTGTCAGCCATAGTCCTGGCAACTCTGAAGCCAACCTTAGCATCTAAGTGTCTGTCTTGAATTCCCTGGAAACATTTCTGCAGGAAATTAAGCTTCCTTATTTCCCTCCTTTCTCATCACTGTCATTCTTTTCCCAGCTACTAGGAATTTTGTGGATGGAAGGCAGCAGGATTAGCTTCTGCTTGAAGGCTGGAGCAGGATAGAATCTCAGGCAAGGCCCATTTTATCAGAGTATGTTTAATTTTGAGTTTGTCTTTTGGATATGTTTTTAAAGAGCTCCATGTATTCGGACTGCTCATTATGACAAATTAAGTAGCCTTGGGCTCATGTTCTGGATTTTGGCTCTTAATGAGTTACTACAGGCCAGCATTTCATCCTATGAGAGTTGTAGCCCTTTATTTTTGCTGTGACTTAGGCCTCAGTATTAGGATATTGAGTCAGGCAGCTGAACGGCTGTGGCCTGAGGCTGTAATCAGAGGAACACTTTTTGGAGTGTTTCACAAAGCTCCCTGCTTTAAAGGATGACATCCTGTATCCTTGATTCTGGGACCACCTGCCTGGGGCAGTGGACATCCTGACTGTTAATTGGACTTCTAACAGTGGCTTCAGTCCCCATTCCATCACAACCCCCAAAGCCGTAGGCCACTGCCAGTACAATTGACAAGACGAGGAAGGAAAACTTGCCGCCTCCATTCTGCCTTGTTTGTTAGTTTGCCTGGGTCTCTCTGGGGAAGGAGGGGTCCCCGCCTCCTCACCTCAACCCATCCCTTCAGTGACTCAGAGTCTCAGAAGGAAACTCTGGCTCCTTGGGCCATTTCCTAATGGTACTGTAAGCCAAGCAGCTTTGCTTCTGCCTCTGTTTCCAAGCCCACCCTTTTCCCCTGAGCTCAGGGGTAGGAACGGGCACTTTCCTCTTTGGTTGTGTCTCAAAGGAAGGAACATCTTTCTATGGCTCACAAAAGCTAAAGGGGAAATAAGGAAACAGGAAGAAGTATGGTGGGGGCTGGGGTAGAGGCCCCTGGAGCCAAGCCCACCCAGCTAAGAGCTGCCCAGGGCTGGTCACAGCTGGCTCATGATGCTGAACTTGAAAGCTTTTTTTTTTGGCTCCGCCAAGATGATATAGGTACGTGAAGTTTAGTTTAAAGGGGTGGGATGGGGCACTCTTTATTTTAATTTTCGTATTGTGTGTGTCAAGAATTACTCCGTAGTTCATCTTTTGCTTTTTGCACTGTTTGTTCCCATGCCTGTATTTTGAGCTAGTGCTAGGACTGAGAGGCTGCACTGTAGGGAGTCTGACTGGGCTTGGGGAGGTGATGAGTGATGCTAGCTAGGGGTGGGGAAGGAGACATCTGGGCTCTTCTACTGGATCTATGCTCTGTCCTAGGTTTTTTAGATTCCCCTGAGCCCAGCTGGCCAAAGCCAAGAGCAGAAGGCCAAGGTGAAACTTCTTTCTGGGTGGGCCATGCCATGATGTCTGCTGCAGATGGGCAGAGAGGCTGCAGTGTAGCCAGCCAGCCTCTAATGGGACATTTTTAGACTCCACTCATGCTGACTGAATCATTGTGCCAGGAAATAATTTGTGGGACCTATGTCCCCTGAACCAGATCCATTTTTCTGAAGAATCTCCGTTATTGAGGAGAAGCTGCTCGGTGGATACCTTGAGTTGTGGTGACTTGAAAGATGGTCATCTTCAAGTGTCAGTGGTGTTAGACTCCCCAGGAGGACCACCTGACCTGCAGGGCCACCCGTTGGTTTGAGAGTGTGATCTTATTCTCTTGTTCCCATTGTTTGCCTAGGAAATACTTGCCTGAAATTGGGGATCACATGAGAGGTCACTTTAAAAAAAGTGGGGTAAAGTTTGAGTTAAGTTTACTTTCCCTTTTCTGTGCCTGGGAACTGTTTAATCCAGTTTCAGAATTGTGATTTGACTTCTTTATATTTTTGGAGAAGCTTCTGTTTTAAGGAATTTCTCTTCCTTCTTATCCTTCATCTACCTTCTCCTAGGAAAGCCTGGCCGTAGCTTCTAGAATCTCAGTTGAACGTCAGAAAACAGCAGCAGTATTTTTCCTTTCCTAGCACTTATATTACTTTCCTTAGAAATCGGCTCACCCTGGGAAGCCCAGGGAAAGAATCAGCAGGTTCTCTACCCTCCCTGGGGTTTGGGGAAGGACCCACCCCGGTCAGCACAGTGCCTTTTCCTCTCCTGCTCTGAGCCAGGGTGGGCATTCCCTCTAAATTCAGGTCCGGGCATGGGTCTTTCAGTCCCTGCCATGGGGCTGCTTCCCCATCCCTTCTTCCCCCTCCCCTTTGCTGGCCGGCTCTGACCTAATTCAAGTGTCTTCTTGCCTTGAGGAGCCTTAATGGCATCAAGTGGCAACATGTAATATTGTCCTCCAGGCCTCTCCAAAAGGACCCAGGAGAGCAGATGAGCTTTCCAAAGTGAGAGACTTAATAGGTTCCCCTGTTTAAAAAAAGGGGGAGATATGCTTTGGGCCTCGTCCTGCTGTGGCCCTGAGGGAAAGAAGCCTGGGATAAGGCTAAGTGACAGTGCAGAAGCAGAACCAGAAACACCACGGATCTGTGCAGAAATCTTAGAAGAAATCTGCTTCTCTTCTATGGAAAGATATAATTTAGAGATCAAAGAGCTCCAAGAAAATTGCAAAGAAGCCTTAATGTTCAAGCTTCCGAGGGCTCAGAGTAATTGTTCTGTTTCAGCCTGAGTTAGGACTCTGTCGGTATTGAGACCGCTCCCGGGGCGAGAGGGCTAGATTTCCTCATTTTGCTACAAGACTAGATTGGCACCAATGGGTCAGCTGCCCAGTGAGGGCAAGTCTCTTCTTTGTACACAGGTGGCTTGCTGCCGATTTGTTTGGCCTCCCCCAGCTGCCTTTTGGCTAGCCCGCTTTAGGGTGCCAAAGCATTTTGATAAGAACAGATAACTTGGGGACTGGCTGGGGTGGCAGGAAAAGAGCAGGATAGATCTCTTGGGACGGGTTACCCCCCAGGAGTATAAAAGCAAGGAGCCAGGATCGTGCTGGCAGCCAGGGAAACAAGTAGTGCCTGTTAGTTGGCAGAGAGGGCCTTGGCACCTCTCGCATCCAGGCAGTCTTGTGAGATACGGGGGGCACACAGCACCAGGCAAAGCAAAACTCCATTCTCACCTCTATTTTGAGCTTCAGTGCTTTACTTCAGTACGAGAAAAAACAACAACAAACTGAAGTGTGCTTTCCGTCCTTTCAAAGGACAACTGTCGGGAAAGGAGAGCCGAGCTGCCAGGTGGGAGGGGAGAATTGGCAGGGAGAGACGGTACGGTAAAACCAGGAATGAGACATTCTTGACTCCTCTCTTCCCTGGTGTGTCATGATCCAGGGAATGAAAAGAAATTTGACCCTGGGTTAGTTTCCTCCGCTAAGTTCTCCCACGCTAGGACCAGCTGCCCATTCTGAGCTCAGGGCAGCCTCTCCAACCATTAACCTGGCTTGTCAGGGAGCCAACACTGCTACTCTAGATTGGGCCTGGCGGCTCTGTTCTGTACTAGGTACTAGAGAATAGTGTCAAGTTCTTCGTAGCCCTTTGTAGCTCCTACTTTAGATTTCCATCCTCTCCTTGCGGAAGTGAAACCAACTCTCTCTAGCTGCAACACACTTTTACAGTGGCACAGTGAGATGTGATTGAGGAGCTTTGAACCTGGCTGGCCCGGGAAAGCCAGTAGGGGTGGATAGAGCTGCCTTCTTTTCCGGGCTGTCTCCACCTGTCCTTACCCCTTCCATGCCCCACCCTATTCCCACCAAAAAAAAAAATCAGGATGTTTTTCACTGTCCATTGCTTTGTGTTTTAATAAACAATTTGCAGTGACACTCTGTGTTGGGATTGAATCTGAACTTGATTGCAAAAGGATGAAGTGATGGGGTGTGAAAAGGGAGACCTAGGGGTTCACTTATCTGCATAGGGTGCTCCTGTGACCGGTCTAGGAGATTGTGTCCCTTTAGTCCTGTGTCTCTTTTCTTTTTGGCGGGATGTTTGGTTAAGGGAATGAAGTTCTGCAAAACCCTGCCTGGCCAGTTCAACCAGCAGCACATTCAAGGAAAAACAAACAGTTGTTTTGTTTTGTTTCTACTTTCACTGGAACACCAGGCCATGACTGTCTAACTCCCAAGCACAACGAGCCTGTAGCTGCCTCTCTTCTCATCTTTCCCTCAGCTTCCACCGTAGCCCATGGACAGACTAAGCCATTGGACAATTTTCTCTACTTTCTCCTTTTCTGGTATGTTGTCATTGCTGAGTATACATTGGGAAGAGGCAGAAAGAGCAGGAAGGATTTTTTTTTTTCCCTGTAACTTATCTGCCACGTTTTACCACTGAGGAAACTCAAAAGGCTTCGGTAATTTATCGAAGTCAGTAAATGGTCAAGCCAGGACTCAAACCCAGTCTATGCCTGCAGAGCCCATGTTCTTTCTAAGGCTATAAGAACATTACAGATATTCTTTATTGAATCTTCGAAATGTGTAGGCACAGTGCCGGGCACTTTTACAGATGTTATCTCTGTTTAATCTTAAGCAAACCAGTTGGTATTAGCTTTTAAGAGGTAAAGTGACTTGCCCAGGGCTACACAGCTAGCGAAAGGCAGGCAGAGCTGGAAGTTTACATGAGGATTCTTGCTCTTAATCATTATTCTCTATTGCCTTCCATTTCCCTAAAATGCTCTGTGACATGACTCCAGAGCCTACCTGCTGCATTCCTCCAAGCAGGATGGAGGCTGCTGGTTTTGGGAGCGAGAGGGAGAATTTGGCCTACCTCCCTCAGTTACCCCTTGAAGGGCAGAATTCAGCGCTCAGCTCTAAGAATGAGGCCAGTGTTGATGGAGTTGGTTCTCAGGGCCCAAATAAGCCAGGAGGCCCACAGAGCCTCTTTTCTTAGTTTGAGACCACCCATTACTGGAGTTCTTTACTAATTCAGATTTAGCTGTTACTATTTCAAGTAGCATTGCATGAGCTGCCAAATGGGGAAGAGACCTGAAGAAGCCCTGCTCTAGGGAGTTGCAGGCAGGGAAATTGTCTGACAGAAGATCTTGTGCCAAGTGCCGGGGGTTGGGTTAAACCACTCCTTGGGTCCAGATATTAATCTCGCTAAGGAAATCAGGCTCCCGGTTGGCTGGAGCCGATGTGTCGGACCTTACTGCATACTTGGTACCCCACCCTCCTTCATCCCCCATAGAGGAAGAGAGATGAGTTTTTCCAACGTTTACTGGAAATCTTGCTGCTTTAGCAGTGGGGAGGGGTCAAGGCAGAAAGGAGGTAGAGCGGGGAGGGTATAGAGCAGGCTGGCCTCTGCGCTCTGGCAACCTGAGATGGTAGACACCTCACTGCAACGCTCTGGCCCAAGAGTTGAATGAGTTCTGTTTGCTGTTAGCCTCTTATGTTAGTTAAAAATAACCCCATTTGCTTTTTGGCTTGGGCCTTGTACAAGGACACGCTCTCCTGGTTTTCCTCACTGTTTCCACTTGAATTTATCTGTTGATTCTTCAAGGTCTGGTCCCCAGCTCATTTCCTCTCAGCTCTGACTTGAGTGTTTTTTTTCAGCCACTGCATTTTGCATTCTAACTCCATGGCTTCTACCTGCGCAGTGTGGCTGCCCTCATCAGAGGGGTCCTGGAGAAAGAGGCCACTTAAGTATACTACCTTAGTGACCATTTATGAGATGCTGTCATAGTGCTTTTCGTTGCTGTTTTTCATCTCCCCTCATAATAACCCTAGGAAAGATGTGTGACTAGCTTGGTTTATAAATGAGGAGACGGGCTTAGAAGGGATAAATGACCTGCCCAAAGTGACATAGCTGATAAGTGACAGAGTGAAGACTGGAACTCGGTCCTGTCTCACCACAGGCTAAATTCCTGGATGTGGAATTGTAGGCAAAGGGGTTAATACATTTGAATACATTTGTCATCATCCCTAGTAAAGGAAAGCCTTTGCTCTTACTGTCATGATGTACTGTTCTTAAAAAGGAAACTTTTGAATGTAGATAACTGATGAAGGTGATGGTTAACATGGAGGTTTATGATAATCTTTCTCTGAAAAAGAAAGTAACCTTTTAAGACAGTGATATAAAATGCATAAGTACATTTTAAAAAATTGTATGGATGCAAAATGTGAAAACTCATTCCTACTCCTCTAATCCCTAGAGGATAATACAGGTGACAGTTTGGTGTCTATTTTTTGTTTTACGTGTGTGTGTGTGTGTGTGTGTGTGTGTGTGTGTGTACATATACATATATTTATATATTTAAACATGTATTTATTGTGCACATATCCAAGTGCTTCTTTAGCATTCTATTAAGGAATTACCATATCAAACAGTATATGCATTTAAAATTTTGAAAGTACTGCCCTTGACAAGGCTACATGAATTTTCACTCACCAGTCTTGTGCTATATGACTTTGGAATATGCCAGAAATTCTTTTTTGGAAACAGGTGAGTTATAAATAAATTCATTCTTTTTAAAAACAGCCCCCAGCCAGGGAAAGAAGTGACTTGGGTACTAGAGAAATTATATTAGTGCTCTGTCACAGACCACAGGGCATGCCCACAGTCCCGGCCAACACTCACTGATTCAATGCACGACACCTTTAGGGAGGCAGGAAGAAGGAGGACTGGACACCCAACTCTCGGCAGAAAAAGCCCTCTTGCTTATCTTGGCACCAGGTCTGGGCCCTACCTCCCTGGCCTAATTTGAAGCAGACTGCCTGGCTACCCTGAGACTGCCACTGTCACACATCTAACGGTGAGGGAAACAACCAGCTGAAGGAGAGAGACTCAGCATGGAGCTGGGGTACAAGGGAGGCCAGCCTTTCTGCTCCAGTCTTCCCGGGTCTAGCCCAGGGAAAGCTTGAGATTACCATTTAATGCAGTAAATCTCTATTAGTATTAGTATATGTACCATTTAATGCAGTAAATCTCTATTAGTATTAGTATATGTACTTTTCAAAAAACTTTTATGAGAGCCTTTTGACATACCTTAAACGGAATGGAGGTTACAGCCTTAATTTTTCCTACTCCTTTTTAAAAAGGGATGTGTATCTATTCTTTTTTTGTGTTTTCTATTCTCCTAAAGACATAGTCTTTTAACCACAATTCATAGGTAGTGATTAGAGAGAGTACAGGCTCCAAAGTCCTTTATACAGCAATATTTACTTATTTATTTTTAACAGAAAAAGTGATCTAGTTTGTTTGCTTTTAATTTTTAGAGAAAATAAGGCTACTTTGGCTTAGTGTCTGCCTTCCAGAAATAGATCCTAGCTTTTTTTTTTTATATATAAGTATACAAGCGTCCCATGATCATAAGCTCGTTGCGATAAAATAGTACAGAAGTAGTTCTAAAGAATGTCTTAAGTGAACATATCCCCTTTTAGTCCCTTCCAATACTCTTTTCTCCAGAGGGAACCACGATTAACACTTTAGTGTATATCCAAACCCCTTCCTTTGAAGTTACAATACATATCTATATATTCATATCCTTTATTTTAAACAAATGGGATTCTGTTTTTTCTCCTCCACTTAATGCCTTTGAGATCTCTCCATACTAGTACATATAGGTGGATCTCGTTCTTTTTAATAACTGCATAGGGAGGGGAAAAAAATAAAATGTTAAAAATAGATATGTTCCCAGGGTGGGGGGCGGGAAATAACTGCATAACGCGAATGCAACTATGATTGTAGTTTTTCAGTGTTACAAATGTTGCTGCAGTAAACATCTTGCATACATGTAGTCTAAGTTCCTGGATGTGCAATTGCAGGCAAAGGGGTTAATACATTTGAATACATTTGTTATCATCCCTAGAAAGAAAAAAGCTGAGGTCCAGGTAACTAGTCTTGGTTTCTGAGAACAAAGTTTCAGTGACCAAGTGAATGCGGGAAGTGGCTGCGTGCTAACCCCCACTCTTGGTGATTCACAATAAAGTACCATATTAAAAGTTCTGGAAATTCTTCAGCAACCACTCACTGCCAAGTGGTTTAAAAGAGTTGTTTGCAAAAGGGAAGACTAATTTTTGTTCACATCTATTAAAATTTTCCTTAGTAGTTTGGTAAGTGCCACCCAGTGGTAATCTCTCAAAGACAGGACAGCATTTAGATAGGAACTTGTCCACACATTGTCCCACCAGGCTGGCCAACAGGTGGAGTCAGGTTTGGATTTTGTCCAGGAACCAGGCTAGGCTTGTCAATCCCTCCTGAGCCCCTCCCATCAGGTGAAAGACTTGCAGCAAGGCCTGGTATAAGTCAAGTCTTGAGGCTGATCATGGGGAGAAGAGAGAGTTTTACTCTGGATGAGAGATGAAATCAGATCTAGCGGACAGACTTTGTATCAGTTGGGCCCTGGCCACCAACACAGAAGACTGTGGATCCAGAATCTCTAGAGAAGGAGCCACTTGCGGGGTGTAAGGGCAGCTTTTCCCCACCCCTACCCACCTTCTCCAGCTGGTGAAATTATGGTTAACTTCCAAGGTTCAGTGCAGAAGTTACCCCTGTGAAGCCTCTCCCTGATCCCCCAGACCGCTCATGTGTACTCTGCTAGTACCTTTGCTGTACTTCTGTTACAGCAATCAGCACTCTGATTTGTCTTCTGGTTCATTCATATTTATTGGATTAATCAAGAGGAAGAGCCACATAATGAATTATGTACTTTCCAGTCTTCCCCAACAAAGTGGGAGTTCCTCCATAGTGAGGTGCTGTTCAGGCTTTCCTTTGTTGAGCACCCACCATGTGTCAAGCATTAGCTAGACCACCCAATACAATAGTGAATAAGACAAACCCAATCCCTAACCTCATTCATATTATATCCCCAGCCCTATGTCTAGCTCAAAGCTTAGCACAGTAGGGTTTAGGAATGACAATCTAATTGGAAAACTGGCTTTGCATAGTAAGCACTGTTTTAACTTACCTTCCATGCTACAGATTAAAAAACATTTAGCATGCCTTTCCACAATTTATATAACAGAATCATTTGACCGTACGAGGTATTTTAGAAAGCATTTGGGGTGACTTGGGACCTGATGGCATGTCTAAGGGTACTTAGTTTCCAGACACTCCTAGGGCCCACCCACCACCGGGCTGGAACAAAGTTGGTGAAAAGGCGGCCCGATGCAGCCCCGCAGGTCCCGCCCCGGCCCGGCCCCGCCCCCGTTCTCCATAGTTACGGCGCTGTGGAGGCGGCGGCCATCTTGGCGGCGGAGCGATGAGCGGGTTGAACCCCGAGGCGGCGGCGGGGGGCTCGACGGTTGGGTCCCGGGGGCTGGTGGCTGGCAAGGAGAAGAAGAAGAAAGCAGGCGGCGGGGTCCTGAACCGGCTCAAGGCACGGCGGCAGGCGCCCCACCACGCGGTCGACGACGGCATCGGGGCAGTGGTCACGGAGCAGGAGCTCCTGGCTCTGGACACCATCCGGCCCGAGCACGTCCTGCGCCTCAGCCGGGTCACGGAGAGTGAGTGCGGGGCCCGCTGCGTCCTCCCCTCGCGCCGGACCCGGAGCCCCTTGCAGCCTCCAGCGGAGCCGGCCTTTCGCCGCTCAATCGGCCTGGGGTCCACCTAGCCACCCTTCCCTCTCCGGCCGGCCGGGCCGCGCTGCCCACTGCTCCGCCCGGTCGGGCCTGCGCTCTCCACCGTCACCTACGCCTGGTTGGGAAGAGGTTCTTCTTGAGCTTGACTGCATTCCCTTGGGTCTGGCCCCCGGCCCCACCGGGCTTCCCCTTGGCCGGCCCCAGCTGGGCCCTCAGGCTGGGCCGTTCCCCTCTTCAGCTTCACTTCCTTGGGTAGGGGGCTCCTTAGCTTAACCGGATCCTCCAGACCCTGGTAAGTGGGCCCACTGCTCCCTCATCCTGGAAGCCCCCCAGCCATCAATGAAGTTCCAGCTCTGCCCCGTCCCCTCACCCTATCTACTCTCGGCTTCTGCAGCCCTCTGCCAGCCCAGACCCCTACCTGCTTCCTCTGCGTTTCCCTCTACTCTGGATCCTGACAGCCCCTCTCCCCTTTTGGCCCCAAGCTTTGCCCTTTTGTGAGCTGGTGGGCTCTTCCTTCCTCAAATACATTGCGGTGGCATTTCATGCACATTTCAAACTGTGCCACATTAAAAAAAAGTTTCATTTTATGTACAAAATCCAAAATGTGAATCCTGCTTTTGACACTTGTTCTAGTGAATTAAGAATTATATCTCTGTTTCAGAAATGTGTTTCTGGCATAAAATAAAACCATTCTACACTTTTCATTGATTTGAGGGAGGGCGGGAAGAAATATATTGCCCATCCCCTACCCTGGACCTCTTCCCTTTTTCAGTTGTTTTCCAAGCCAAGCCTTGACCTGACTTTTCTCTTGCTATTTACCCTCTGAGAGTTTGCAGTCACCTGTTTAGGCCCTGCGTGCCCTGCCCATCCCCCTTGCTCTCCAGATTTCTAGCCCTGAAGCACTAGAACTCCCTTGGTGGATCTGAGGCTACAATAGTGTTATCGCTGAATTGCTTTAGTCATCAGCCCAGGGCTGCTTGGGTGTACCTCAGGAAGCTGGTGGCAGCTCCAGTGATTTGGGAATGGGAATGGGGGGGTGAGGTGGGGGGGGTCTTGGTCCAGACTGTATTAAAGGGAATTCTCATTTCCTAAAATAGTTTTCACTTGATTCTGGATGTTTTGATGTCCCCATTTTCCATCACTGTTTGGGTTGAGACTATCATTTTCATGCCTAGTATATCTTTAGAAGGTCTCGCTATTCAGTTTCATTGAAATATTATGAAAAAGCAGCTCTGTTCTGACCCAGTTTTCATTTGGGGCTCTAAAGGTACAGAAATGCTTATCACCTGTTCTTTCTAACCTGATGTTTCTTCCTAATAGCAAGGGTGAATTAGGCCATTCTAATGCCTGACGGAGAGGTGGGCACTCAGGTCCTGTGTAGGAGCTTGGGATTGGTGCTCTGCAGTTTACTGCAGAAAACCACAGGTCAGAGCTTGGTGACTTCTGGGTGTTATTATTTTTCTTAAAGTCTGTTCCCTTCAGCAAGTTATTTTTGAGTACCCTCTAAAGGTGCAGAACCAATCTCAGCCTTTTAGAGAGTTACAGGATTATCAGTAGCTCTCAAGTTTGCCATCTTACCAGATAGCATGTGAAACATGAAACAACTAACACAAGTAGGCAAGATAAGATAAAGTGCCAGAATGAATTGTAGAGAAGATGCATGCTGTCAGGAATCATCACAGAAAGAAGTCAGTGAAATTTTCTATGATTAGTCCTATTTTGATTCGTTGCTCAGGTTTTTGTGGGCTCTACTCCACTTCGGCCTAATGTGCTCACCGGCAAATCTGTCCTGCCGCCTGTGTAGGTATAGTCCACCTGATTTCAAACAGCCCACAAGCTAATGGTTCTTACATTTTTAAATAGTTGGGGGGGAGGGGGCGGGGCGCGGATACTACCTTGCAACACATGGTCATGTAAAATTCGTATTTCAGTGTCCTTAAGTAGTTTTATTAGAATGAAGAGATGCTCAGTTGCTTTTGCACTAAGTGACGGTTCAGGAGTTGTGACAGACTGGCTCAAAGCCTAAATTATTTATGATCTGGTCCTTTACAGAGAAAGTTTGCTGACCTCTTCATTGTGATATGGTTGGCAAACAAGCACTCTATTAGTCATTAGATTAGGGTAAGTGTTTTTAAGTAGATTTCTAAAAAAAATTCTGCTCTTTTGTGACATCCAGGTTGATAGATCATGAAAGGTTTGTAGGTCATTTTTGACGTGTTTCCAAAGAAATCTTTTTAAACTGTAAAAGTGTCATCATAATCTTATCCGAACCAAGTCCATGCTTTTTTTCTTTCTTGGATCTCCTAGTTCTCTCCCCACAACCTTTGCTTATAACATAACAGGAAGTTTTTGTGTATATTTTAAGTGAATTGCATAAGAAAAAAAACCTGAGTATGCTTCAAAACCTGAGAAAAATGTGAATGGTAGTTTCAGAGGATTATTTAACAGCATTGGTCTCTCTCTCTCTTTCTCTCTCATTTTCAGATTATTTATGTAAACCCGAAGACAACATCTACAGTATTGATTTCACCCGCTTCAAAATTCGAGATTTGGAGACAGGGACAGTGCTTTTTGAGATTGCCAAACCTTGTGTTTCAGGTAGGCCTCTATATTGTAGTGGTCACTTGATAATTGGAGCAAAAGGCCTTTGAAGCTTGAATTTTTGTGTGCCATTGCATCCTGTGTCATGGACTCTGGCATTTACATGATCTCCTGAAGCCTGGCCTGCTGAGCCTGCTGGTTTGAAACTGTGTTGAGAGGCTGATGTTTGTTGAGTATCTGCTCTGTGCTGGTTACTGTGTTCCACAGCTTTTTGTTACATCCGCTCATGTAATCCTCACTCCTCTGAGAGGATTTATTTTCCCCATTTTTCAGATAAGGAAACTGAAGCCCAGAATTTCCAAGTGACTCTCCTAAGGTTCTGTGCTCTTTCATCTTCCAGATTGCCCCCACTTAGGAAAGGAATCCTTGAAATTAAACTGTAACGAGGAAAGCTCATATGAGCTTTGAGTACAAGGGACACTCTGGAAGGGTGATACTGAGGATTCCAGTCCAGACCATGAAGCAGTTTCACTTCTCGTCTCACTCTTCCTTTTAAATAGTGTCTCATATTTCCCAGTAAGTTCTAGTTTGGATTTTTAATCTCCACCATTTTCTGGATGAACAGAAAGTCCAGGCCTATGAACTCATCTACTTGGGATTCCTTAAAGTAGCCTTGAATAGATGGTTCCTGTGCTTGTGCTGCAGTTCCAGGGTGATTCATTTCTGGCTGGGAGACCACACTGTCTTTGGAGCACATCTCTGGAGAGTCAGCACCCCCTGGAGTTTGTATTGGAACACCAGCACAGATAACTCTTCAGAGTATCAGCTGCAGTCTGTATTAATAACTCTTTTTACAAGCTTTTCTCATTTGATTCGCTACTCAGAAAGAGGCTGTAAATTTGATAAGGCAGGTGTTAGTACCGCAGATAAGTCAAAGACTCTCCTGAGAAAGTCTCAGCTCAGGTTAATTACACAGCCAAGGCTAGAGCCCTGGTCTCTTTACCCCACCAAGTATTCTTTACGCTGCTATACTCTCATACTGGCCAAGGCGCCTGAAGGCTCAATACAAACCTAGCTGATATTAGGAGGTCAGGGCCAGCTAGCTTCCTGGGTCCATGGAGTTCATATCTCTGAGCCACATGTCCAGTACTTAGGATGTTTCACAGACCCCTGGTACTACTTCAGGTATATAGATTTGAATTTGACTGGTCTCAGGATAGTCATTTCAGTACAAAACTGAACTGTCTCAAGAAGGTCAGCTGCAGATACTCTAAAAATACTTTGATTTTCAGGCTCTCCAGTCTTTACCTTTAAGGATCTTGATTCACTTAGAATATGCTCACACCAAGTCACACACATTCAGCAGTGCTTGTTCTGATGAGTTGGAATCTCTGAGAAATTTTGGTGTGACTTTGAATCACATTGTTGGAGCCAGGGTTCTAGAGTTTGGGTACAAACCCTACTCAGTCTGGTTGCCCAGTTGCTCTTGGGCTTCTCAGAGGCAGAGATGTTCGATGCGGAAAAAGACTTCAAATCCCTGCTGGACATGGGATGGTTACTTGAGGAAACTAACTCTTTGTTCTCATTTTATAAATTCCTCATTTCTGGGTTCAAGAATGGGCTAGACCGAGACCATCATACCCTTGTGGACCCTCATTCAGGTCCTACACCTTGCTTCACTGTGCATCGGCTTCACCTTCTCCCGGGTGGTCAGTGTTGGGCCTGCTGTGGCCTAGAATAGGCATAAAAGGCATTAGTCCAAGGAAATGTAGTACCCCAAGGTAGTAGGTCAGTGTCTTCCGTTTAAATAACAGAATTATTTCTCGGGGTTTGTCTTTACTGCCTGTCAGAAATTTTTGCGTTCTCTGAAGGAGCCTTTTGACTAGTTTCAACTTTTGTCGTCTCATTCTTTTGGTTAGTGACTAGTAGTACATCAGATTGGTCAACAGGCCTTCAGTCAGATGGACCTGGATTCAAATCTCTGTTCATTCCATTTACTATTTTGGGGACTTTGGACATGTTACTTAACCTCCCTTACTTTGAGCTTTCTGATCTGTAAAATGGAGCTAATAGTAACACCTCACAGTGTGGTTGTGAGAATTCTATGTAGCGTTTAGCACAGGACCTGGCATATAGCAGGTGCACAGTATGTATCAGCCACACTGCTCTCGATGTTAGCACTGTTGTGCTGTTTGGGCTGGTGGTGCTGAGATGGTTCGCTCAAAATTCCGTGTGTGCTTTCAGACCAAGAGGAAGAGGAAGAGGAGGAAAGTGGAGATGTGGATATCAGTGCAGGACGTTTTGTCCGCTATCAGTTCACACCAGCATTTCTCCGCCTCCGGACGGTCGGGGCTACGTGAGTACGAGTATTGCCTGAGGGGAGAACTTTCTGCTTGTTTACAGAGGAGAATGTTCTCAGTTGGGTTGGCTTTAGCGGGCGGCAAAGTGAGGCTCACAGAGATTTATTTTGCAGGGTGGAGTTCACCGTGGGGGACAAACCTGTGTCAAACTTCCGGATGATTGAACGGCATTATTTCCGGGAACGATTGCTGAAAAACTTTGACTTTGATTTTGGTTTCTGCATCCCCAGCAGCAGGAACACTTGTGAACATATTTATGAGTTTCCCCAGCTTTCTGAGGATGTCAGTACGTATCCCCTGACTTGTTCAGCACTGTATGTCTTTAGGGCTAAAAGGAATGAACCTTTAAATCCATCTGATCCAACAAACTCATTTTGCAGAGGAGAGAAATAGTGACATGATGCATCTCTAGTCATTCGATCTCAGGTTTCTCGTTTCCTATCGATCCTATCTGATATTTCAAACTCTGACTCTGTATGGGAGCATGGAAGGTTTTAATAATACTTTTTAGATGCCTATTGTGGGAAAGGGCGTGACTCAGGGAGCCGAGAAGAGGCCCATGACGATCCCTGGGACTCTGATTAGATGAAGCTCCTCTCCTGTCCACTGTTGGTCATGGTTCCCACCCCATTCTGGTCATCAGCTTCTGCTCTGCACTGTTTGTCAGCCGTTCATTTATTCCTTAATCCTAGCTAGGCGGGAAATGGGGGGCTAAATAGAATCATAAGTCTGAGGACCTCTTCCTGCTCATTCTCTGCAAGTAGAAGGTTCATTAGACAAACTGTTAGAATAGACCCAGCAGGAAATAGGGAGCTGTTACAGGTTTTGAGGCACAAAGTGACATGATTGAAGCAGTTATGGGGGAAGAACTAGAGAAGGCACCAGAGGGAGAAGGCCAGAGAGAGATGGGCTTATTAATTAGAGAGAAAGAACTGGAGTTTTCAGTTTCTACGACTTTGGTTTAGCATCCTCTCAGGTTAGCATCTCAGGTTAGCAACCTCTGTTAGTAATTAGAGAAAACTGTTGCAGAACAATGAGGATGTGAGTGGGATCCTGTGAATAGCAGTAGAATTTATTTAGTTGGGTTTTAGGGAAGAATCTACATATACTAATTAGTTTTCTCAGAATCCCAGGTCCTTAAAATTGGCCTGTTCTGACCACCAGGTACTCTTTATTCATGTGGCAATGTTGTTCCCAGGTAAAATGAGGATCACTGAGAATGTGGGGTGGGGTGTTTATGATAGCATCTAATCTTAATTTGAACCCTGCTCCCCAAGATCGGCTGGAATATGTAGATACTTGCAAGAAAAGATTATGTATAGCATTTCAAGTTTTTACCCAAGGCAGTTCAACTTTTCTTCTTGAAACCAAGAGTGTGAAGGTCAACATTCTGGATACAAACCAAATAACTTTGGCCTGGGTGGGTTCAAAGAGCTTTAATCAGTTTTATAATTTTCTAAAAGGTGATGAAAAATAGCATTTCCTCCATAGGAGTCAAAGTAACGTGTAATCATTAACTCAAAACTGATCAGAGATAGTGACTGTTTAATTCTCTTGACTTTCCAGCATGGTTCAAGAGGTCTGGGCAGTTGCTTGAACAAACATTTAAATCGGGATCCCAAGACAGGCAGACCCTTTTGCTGGATCATTTCTGAGTTAATACCTTGAGCCATGTCTGGTGAAGGCTCCTTGCCATTTGTCCCCATGCACTCATGCACACCAAGTTTCTTTGGTTGCCAGGGTGCCTGTGGGCACTGGCACATTTAGGCACAGCTTTCTGGATTTGGACCAGAATGTCTAGGGATACGGACCAGAAACACTAAGTATATAAGGTGCTGTGGTCCATGTTAGCAAAAGTGTAAGCACGTTCTCCTGGGTGCTATCTATCAACTCAGAATCCAGGCTGGAGGTGACCTGGAAGGCCTGTCAGAGTTGATTGCATCCTTGTGTTGAAGTGAGTATCATGTTGAGTTTCAGGGCCTCTGTTCCTCAGTTCTCCCCAGCTCTCAAGGGTTGGCTCCCTCTGACCTTATTATTCTGGGAAAGGGTACTCACATTTTCTGGAAGGCCCAGCTTATGAATTTTAGAGGGGATACTAGGTTACCACCTAGCCCGTGGGACAGGCTCACACGTCTTCGCTTTTTTCTTTTCCCTGATTTGCAGTTCGTCTGATGATTGAAAATCCCTACGAGACCCGTTCTGACAGCTTCTACTTTGTTGACAACAAGCTGATAATGCACAACAAGGCTGATTATGCCTATAATGGAGGCCAGTAATGCAAGATTGGACAGGAGAGGTGCTTTGCTGAGGCCCAAGGTCCTGGCACATGGAGGTGGTCGAAGCTACTGTTAGAGAACACACATCTGGAACCTGGCCCCACTAAGCTGAGGCTGGGGTGGCAGCTTCCTGTGCTCAAAGAAAGGTGCCAAGCAGTGCTGTGTTTCCTCCCCCAGTATTTTTTCTTCCCTTGTATTACCTGCCCCTTAGGTCACAGAGGTACTATAGTAAAGTAAAAGATTAGGATAAGACTCTTGGAATCCAGATAAAAAAGAAAGTTTATTCTCATGTAGTCATAGCTGCCTCCTGGTTGTCCTGACAAGCGCGGGTCTCGGTGGCAGAGCCATGCCTGGGTGAGAAAGCTCTGGCTGGCTTGCCTGCCAGCTAGCAGCTCTTCTTTAGGTTCCTGGGTGCTGTGGGAAGCTGCAGGGACAGCCTCTTCCAGGCATCAGTTCTCACTTCTGGTGTTGCCATCAGCACAATCTGACCTCAGCCTGTGCATCATTGTACACTAATTGGAAAGAAACTCGAAAGTGGTTGGAGAGGAATGGTGCCGAGACCTGAGGCACTAGAGATGGAGACTGTTGCCAAACGGAAAGATCCATTTTGCGGAGAGGCCTGCTTATCTGTCTGACTTCCAGGATCCTCAGCTAGTCTTTCTGGGGAGCCAGCAAGGTTTCAGCCTGGCAGTGCCTTCCTGTTGTTGTTTTGGAGGAAAGTTAAGCTTGGCTTGCTTCTCTAGACTCTTCACCTTTGAGTATCTCCCAAAATAGGATGTGTCAGTTTTGTTCTTGCAACAGTAGTATCTCTCAAGGCCATAGCAAGCCTCATTGTGTTTTTTTAATTTCTAGGCTGCTTCTTGGGAGGTTTTATAAAATGTCAGTGGTGTTCCCAGCGTATGTGATGTGCAGTTAGACTTCTGATAGTGCTAATCAGGCTCCAGAGGTGAATCTGGCTCATCTTGGGGCCAGGCGTAGTTACGAACCAGCAGCTACTTAAAGGAGGCATTCAATTTTCTCTACATAGCATAGCCTAGATGATTGGCTTCTGATGGGATTTGTCTCCAAAACTCTTTGTAGAGTTCTTATTTAGAATTTTCCTATCCACCTTTACTGAAATAGTTTCTGGCACTGTCCTGGCAGGTCAGATCTAAGTAATGCATATCTAATCCTTCAGACTGCTAGTTGGAATTGCTTTGGGTGTTAGGCCCCTCAGCCTGTTTCACTTGTTCCAGTCAGAAAGCTGTGTTCTCAGAAAAACTTCCTTGCATATCCTGCTACTTTTGTTCTCAGGCCCTTCCTTATTGGATAGAGTCTCACCTCATTTGGTCTGGGTGGTGTCTGACTGTGTGAGTGGCTTTATGTGCTAAGCCTAAAGTCCATAAGATTAATGCTGTGGCCAGGATTTAGCATTGATAAGAAGATGGCAGTAGGAAGGAGCCAGGTATATGGTAATAGTCACTGCATGCATCACAGTAACTGGCTGGATAGCCATTTCCCAAGGCACTTGGGAGGAAGGCTGCATGGGGCCAGGGAAAGAAGAGCCAGCACTCAGCCACAGTCCCTCCTGTGCATCACTAACCAGTGTTGCTCCTGGTTTGGATTCTAGAACGTGAGTGGCCCTGAACCTTGGCGCTCAGTGCTTTGTACCAGGCCAGAGTCTGGGCTGTGCCGGATATGGACAGCTTTTTTACTGAGAAAGCCCTAGGTTAGCCCTGTTGTGCCAGCACTGGATCCGGCCACTGAGGGAATAAAGAGACTGGCAGACCGGGGGAATCTCAGAACTGGAGCTAGTTACAAATTCAGGTGCCTTATGTGGGGCTCTGTCCCATATGCTGCTGGGGAAAGCTGCATTGCCTTCTTTCCCTCCCCATCTGCAGACAGGTATCAGCACTGCCTCTTGTCCTTGCGTGTTAGCTCAGAACTGTCTTGTTTCTCATTGTGGCTCCTCCGAGACGTTCGCGTATTGCTATGGAGCTTCAGAATCATTCCTCTCAGTGACAGAAGCCCTATCTAGAAAGTTTCTACTATTTGCTATTTAATTACCATCTAGGTTGTGGTTTCTGAAGCTGCTCAGAGCTGTGCTCAGTAGAGTTTGTCTTGGAAATGTGTCCCAGGGCAGATTGCATCTGTCTACTGTGGGCCCTTATCAGCAGTGTTAGCTTTTGCGAGGAGGAGGACCTCTGAGAAGGGCAGAGGAGGCAGGCCTCTGGCATGGATAGTGCTGTGTCCTCTTTCCTATTAGTTTGCCTTAGTCTCACTGGAGACCATTTTGAGGCCAAGTGCTCAAACTGTACCCAGCAAGACAGGGTTTGCCATCTTCTGTTACTGAAGGTCTGGTGGTCTGTTTCCAAGACTCTGAATTCTTGTGTCTAGCTACTCAGGAAATCTGGGGAAGCATTACCACTTTGAGGTGTTAACTAGGATAAGTTTGAAATTCGAGCTTTTATACCTGCATTGGAGAGAGAATTAGAAGTCATAACTTTCTCTGTAAATAGCTGAACCAATCAGAAGTTGAGTCAGGAGGCCATGTTATTAAGGAATCTGCACTGTTGATAGCTGTTATCTTGTGGGTGATATAATAGGAGGAAAAAAACCTCCCTGTTTGGGAGATGATGCCTTCTGTTCAGAGCAGGCATCTGAGAGGGAACATGTCCCAGTGGACTGGCAGGCCCACCTGGTGCCAGGGGGCCTGCTTCCTGCACCCTTCCTCTCCTGTCTTGCCCTTGTCCCTCTGCCTTGTAATCTCCTGGGAGAGAGTCTCTCTTTTCCTGGGAAGCCTTTCGGCTAAGATGCCCTTGAGCTTCTCCAAAGAAGATCCTGGTTTATTTAATTCTATATTCTAAAGAGTAAATAGAGGAAATAACTAACTGTAGTTCTGGGCTAAAGTAGGCTCTCCTTGCGTGTTAGCTCAGAACTGTCTTGTGAAGGCAGTTTCCAGGAGTATGTGGGACTTGTTGCGGATACCTGTAGTCTGGGCCTTCTAATTCCCAAATAGGGGCAGTGATTTGGGGATGTTGAGGCTAACCGTAGACTGGTGATTCTTGAAATGACAGTGACTGGGGAATCTTTGACTTACATTTTCGGTTGAAATGGAACTCATTTGTGGAGCAGATTTAATAGGCTCTGTCTAATGTACAAATAGAGTGAGTCTTGCCTTAGTTTGTCCTGCCCCCATGGTAGGCTCCCAGGGTACTCTTTTTTCCCTCTGTAAAGTCACTTTCTTCTGGTGGCCATTGTCACCATGATGTCAGTGAGGTTCGGGGAATGGGGACAATCTCCTAAAAACCACACCACAGACTCCTTGCCAGTGCATGAGGATTCCTGATACAGAGGGTGCTGCTGTACCTGGTGTGGGAGCCTAATCGTCAGACCATCACCTTATTCACATGCTGTGTTACAGAACATCTTAGCCACAGGAAGGATCTGGTGGAGGTGGATCTACCCTTTGTTTTACAAAGGATCATGTAAAGTCATTGAAGTTGTGAAAGTCTATTTTTTCCCTTGTAAATCTATTTTTCACAGAATATAAGAAACATCAATGACCCGATCTATCCTTCCTCCTCTTTCCCCTTCACTCGAGATCCTCATTCCAGTTTGTATTATCTTTGTGTCCAAAGTAAACTAGGTGATTTATTTGTATAAAATGTTATTTTGCCACAAGAGACAGAAATAAAAGATTTTCACAGTCTGTGTACCCTCTCTTGTATTCTGACTGGGCCCCTTGTGTTGCTGGGAGGAGCAGGTATGGGGTGAGGGGTGGCCTTTTTATATATAGTTTGAGCATAGCTGGTTTATAGGGAGATTGGGGAATAGTTTTGGGCTTTAGGTTTAATTTTGCTTTATTTTGCCAGGGGCTTCTGAGAATTAAAAATTTATGTACACATTTAAAAGTTAGGTTTATTAAGGTGTGCTTTAACTACAGTAAAATTCACCTTGTTTAAAGGTACAATTTGATTTTTCAATAAATGTAAATGTATTCGGTCTTATTCCCCCACTGCAATCATGATACAGGGCATTTCCATCACCCCAAGAAGTTCTCTCAAGTTCCTGGTGTTTGTAGCCAGTTCCCTCCCTTTACCCCAGCCCCTTGTAAATGTGATTTTTATCTGTTGGAAAACTCATGTACCTTTACTATAAGACATGGACATGTTTAAGGTCACAAATGATACAATTTTAAAATGTCTGGTTTAGATGGTCTGGGGTACCTGAAGCAATTATTGGCCTCTGCCCACAGATACCATTCACTATTTCCCCCTTTCCCCTGCTTTTCCCTCTTTTCTTCCACCCAGGGTTGGTGATGGAAAGGTGAAGAAGACCTCAGAGTATTTGTCAATCACAGTCATTCGTTTGTAAAGTACTGGGGATTAGAGGCTTTCTTTTAAGTTTGTAAGCATTTCATCTCTAATGAAAGGTAACATTAAGAACTTTGCTGTGTCTTTTGGCTGATCATCTCCAGGAAGTAGAACCTCTTGTCTGGAGACAATTCTTGGCATGTGGGTCAGTGCTAAGGACAGATACCAGGCAGAGTTACGGGGGGTTGGGGGGAAGGCAGCTGGAGGGATGTGGGAGTGTGTGGGACGGTGTAGATAGATGTCTGATTCACATTTGTGCTGAGGGAAAACTGTTGCCAGGCAAGTGAAATCTCCATAGCTTCTTGAACAGAGTGAAGGCATCCTGAGGAGGATGCTAAGGACCAAATGCATGGCATTAGGTGGCAGTGCCCCAGCTCCTAAGGGGCTCTGTCCCACAGTTGGGAGTGAGACAGATGGGACTATAGTGGCACAGGGAAGTAGCAGCGCTGCCCCACTTTCACAACCTCTGGGGGGGAAAATCTCCCTCCCAGCAACCCAATTTCCTGGGCCTAAATATTGAGCACCAGAGCAAGACGACCCTTTGCCCTTCGTGGAGTTGACAGACGAGTGGAAGGCTGGAGAAGATTTCAGATGCTAAATAAACCGTCGTTTGGAGAGTGTGTGGGGAGAGACACTAGCCTTCCGGGTCAGGGCAGGCCTCAGTGCGTGAGATCTGAACGTAGAGGAGCAGATGGGACAGTGATCGCAAAGTCCCGGAGGCAGAAACAAGCTAGAGGTGTTAGAGAAAAGCTGCCAAGTGCGGCTGGAGCGAAAACAGCAGGGGAATGGTGGGCGTGAGGAGGGAGGAGATCATATAGAGCTTTTTAGGCTGCGAAATTGGATTTTGGTGGAGAGGGGCCCGCCATCGAAGAGTTTTAAGAACGGATGAGGACCGACCTCGGAGACCTCATGAACGCGGGAGAGTTTGGTTTTATCTCCAGGGTGGGAAGCGACGCGCAGGCCCCGTCCTCAAGGCCTGAGGGGCGGGGCTTGTGACCCGCGGAGCCCCGCCCCCTTCAGCCGGAATCTGAATCGCAGGCGTCTTCCGTCCTCCATGGCTGCTGTGCTCCTCGCCTGGGCCTGCGGCCCGGTCCGTAGAGGTGAGTGCACCCCGGCTCCGCACAGAGGGGCCGCGGTGCGGGGCTGGCTGAGCCGGCGGGCGTCCCCACGGCGGGGTCTCCCCTGCTACAGGTCAGGGATGGGCGGTGAGCGGCAGCTCCTCAGGGAGCGCGCGCGTGGCCTTTGCCCTAGTTTGTTTGCTCGCAGCCTGCAGTGACCCTTGGATCCTGTTTTGACATTCACCCCTAAGCCAGTTCAGAAGGCTACATCTCCATGTCCCTCCTTTTATTTCACCCCCAGAGAATTCAGGAAGATTCAGGGTGCAGAGGGGTAAAGGGGATCAAATATATGGTAGCTGAAGGAAACTGGACTCTGGATGGTAATCACACACAATAGAATATATAGATTCTTTCTCCAGAGCCAGGGCTGAAATTGAACCCACACTCTGCACCTGTAAGCTTGGTCAAGACAGCCCGTGTCGGCCTCAGTTGGCCCATGTGTAAAACGGCCACAATAATATATTACTATTCCCATAGAGTTGTAAGGATTAAATCATAAGGTGTGTAAAACACTTAGTACTATGCCTGGTAGGTAACATCTCAGTAATGTTAGTTAACTCTTATCATTTCTTTCCACCTGGAGCAGCTGTGACAGCTACGGCCTCTGCCAGGCCTTGTAGTAAGTGCTACAGTTAGTATCTCTAATTCACCCACCCCCAGATGGTACTGTTGATTTTCACATTTTATATTACCCGAGTCTCAGTGCAGTTAAGATCTATGCCTAAGGGCACAGAGCTGTGCTCTTACTATTGGCATTAATTGATGACTGAGTGGGCTAGTGTAGGCAAAGTGTTTAACAAGCATAATAAGCATTTAGTGCGGCAGTTCTCAGCAGCAGCACTGTTGATGTTTTGAACTGATAATTTTTATTTATTTAAGTTTATTGCAGTAACATTGGTTAAAATAATTATATAATTTTCAGGTGTACATTATAATTTGACATCTATATATTCTATTGTGTGTGATTACCATCCAGAGTCCAGTTTCCTTCAGCTACCATATATTTGATCCTCTTTACCCTGTCTACCTCTTCCCTCCTCTTCCACCCCCTACCCTCTGGTAACCACTATAGACTGATAATTCTTTGTCATGGGGTCTGTCCTGTGCATTAAAGGATGTTTAGCAGCATTCTTGGTCTCTACCCACTCCATACCAATACCGTTCCCACCTTCAGCTGTGACAACCAAAAATGTCTCCAAACATTGCCAAATGTTCCTTGGTGAGCAAAATCATCCCTGGTGGAGAATCACTGAGTTAATGGATCACATTATTATTATTTATTATTATTACTACTACTACTACTACTACTACTACTACTACTTCTACTACTACTACTACTACTACTACTACTACTACTACTACTACTGCTACAACACAAAACCTCTTGCTGGCAGCTCTCTGTCGTCAATTACATACTGTCTACCAGTCTGTGAAACTTCCGGAGACACACCAGATACTGCGTCAGACCTGTCGGGACTTTGCCGAGAAGGAGCTGGTTCCCATCGCAGCCCAGGTGGACAAGGAACACCTCTTCCCAGCAGCTCAGGTGAGAGTACCAACCTCAAAAGCCCATAATAGAGGTCTGTCTTTGGCTCCTGGGTGAATGGTGACAGTTACAGCCAGACACACACTGAGCCTCTAGTGAAAGAACCCTTAGACGGGTCCTGGGACCCAGAAAATTCTCAGAGGTCTTTCTTGTCTAGCACAAGGCCTATAGCTTTTAGTATTTAACTTTTAGAATCACAGTAATAATGGTGGCTGGTTGATATGCTTACTGTGTGTCAGACATTGTGCTAATAATAATAGCCCACGCTTACAGCATGCTTACCGCGTGCTAGGCACTGTTCTTAGTGCTTGAGAAGTAGCAGCTCATCTGTTTCTCACAACAGTCCTGTGATGGGAAGGTACTGTTGTTACATACCCTGTTGTACAGTTGATGGGAGTCAGATTGGCAAGAGGTTTAAATAATGTGCCCAAGGTCGTGGAGCCAATGAACTGCAGAGCTAGGGCTTGAACCTGAGTCTGTCTTCTGAGATCACAGTCAGTACGCTCCCTCTCGAGCCATCGCGTTCTTCCATCTGCCTCAGTCCACCTGTAATTAAAGGTTTAAGATGTTTCTGCTGTATCCCCTGGACTGCCAGATGTCTGGCACATGGTGTAAATACTCAATAGATATTTGTCGAATAAATAACTGGTGACACAGTAAACCTTTTTGGCCTCTTACTTGTTTTCTAGTCTGAGGAATTCAAGAGTTGTGGTCACCATTTATATGTCTTCTAGGCTCTGTGACCACTTTTCCTAGTTAGTTAGTGTTGTGTGTTGATGGTATATTGGGCTCTGTGTCTGGACTGTGGGAATACCCACGGAGCTCAAAGCCAAGTAGGCAAATGGCCTTCTGGGCACCAAAATCAGTTGGGCGACTTTTAGGTGTTAAGCACATGACGTGTGTCATCTCATTTAAGCCTAAGAACATCCTCATTTGCGAATCTGATCTCCATTTTGCCTCATGGGATGCTTACTGGGATTAAAGTGAAATAATGTATGTCAAATTCATGGCGCCTGGTAACTGTTAATACAATTATTGTTATTTTCATTAGGGTTGAGAATGAGACACAGAGAAGTTAAATGATTTCCCCGGGTTTACTGGTCTGTGGAGCTAGAATTGACACTCCAAGTCTGCTGGCTCCACAACCCATCTCCATCCACTATCCATGTGGTTGTCCCAGCAGCCCAGGTGGCAGGAAGGGGCGTCCTCCGTACCAGCACGCACTGCTCGAGTAACTTCATCTGGCACTTTCCTTGTCTTTCAGTGCCATCAACTGAGATGTGAAAAAAACTCAGTACCTTTGTGAGTAGAGGATAGCAATAAGCAAACAGGCCATTGAGAAACAATAACAGCTTAGAGGTGCTTTGCCCACAGCAGTTGTCCTAGAGATGGTTGTGTTGGGGATTTTCCTGCCAAATGACAGATCGATCACCTACTTTTTGTGTATTATTCTATTTCCTCAAATTATTATTAATATTACAGACATAGATTTGCTGTGGGTAAGAAGGCTGGCAGTAGAAGCAGGTTTTTTTTCTTTTAATTAAATGTATTGGGGTAACATTGGTTAATAATCATAAATTTCAGATATACAACTTTATAATACAACATCTATATATTCCACTGTATGCTCACTACCCAAAGTCCAATCTTCTGTCACCATATATTTGACCGCCTTTACCCACTCTGTCCTCCTCCCACCCCCCATTTCCCTTCTGATAACCGCCATCCTGTTGTCTGTATCTATGAGTTTGTTTGTTTTGTTTGTTTGTTTGTTGCCTTTTGGTTTTGTGTCCCACATATGAGTGAAGTCATACGGTTCTTATCCTTTTCTGTCTGACTTATTTTACTTAGCATAATATTCTCAAGATCCATCTGTGTTGTTGCAAATGGCAATATTTCATCCTTTCTTATGGCTGAGTACTATTCCATTTTATATATGTACCACATTTTATATATGTACCACATCTTCTTTATCCAGTCATCTAAGGACACTTTGATTGTTTCCATCTCTTGGCCACCATGAACAGTTCTGCAAATAGGGGTACAAATGTTTTCAAATGTTGGGGGTAGATACCCAGAAGAGGGATTGCTGGGTCCTGTGGTAGCTCTATTCTTAATTTTTTGAGGAACCCTCATACTGTTTTCCACAGCGGCTGCACCAAGTTACATTCCCACCAGCAGTGTGCAAGCGTTCCTTCTTGTCCAACCTCTCCAACACTTGTTGTTTCTTGTCTTATTAATAATAGCTATTCTAACAGGTGTGAAGTGGTATCTCATGGACGTTTTGGTTTGCATTTCCCTAATAGCTAGTGATGTTGGGCATCTGTCTTTTCATAGACCTATTGGCCATCTGTATGTCTTCCTTGGAAAACTGTCCATTCAGGTTCTTTGCCCGTTTTTAAATTGGTTTGTTTTTTTATTGTTGTGTTGTATGAGATCTTTATATAGTTTAGATTATTGGCCCCTTATCAGAGGTATTATTTGCAAATATCTCCCATTCAGTTGGTTGCTTTTTTTGTTTTGTTGATGGTCTGTCTCTTGCTTTGCAGAAGAAGCTTTTTAATTTGGTGTAGTCCCATTCATTTATTTTTACTTTCCTTGCCTTTGGAATCAAGTTCACAAAAACCTTTTTGAGACCAATGGGGTCCATAAGTTTAGTGCCTGTATTTTTTCTTTCTCCTATGTATTTTATTGTTTCAGGTCTTATATTTAAGTCTTTAATACATTTTGAGTTAATTTTTGTGACAAGTAGCAGTCTAGTTTCATTCTTTTGCACGTGGTTTTCCAGTTTTCCCAGCACCATTTGTTGAAGAGGCTTTCCTTTCTCCACTGTATGTTATTGGCTCCTTTGTCAAAAATTAGTTGCCCTTATATGTGTGGATCTGTTTCTCAGTTTTATTCCATTGGGTTGTGTGTCTGTTTTTCTGCCAATACCATACTGCTTGATTACTGTAGCTTGTAGTATAGTTTGAAGTCAAGGAGTGTGATGCCAAAAAAGCAGACTTTTTACCATCCTCCTCTTAACTAATCTTCTGGTTTGATAATTTCCTACTTGCTTTATAGGGATGGGGTATTTCCAATATCCTCGTAAATATCCTCTCAGATAAAGACTTCTGAGCCACTCCCTGGCTTATAGTAGGCGCTTGATTAATGATATCTAATATTTTTTCCTAAAGAATTCCCTCCCTCCAAAAAAAAAAAAAAAGTGGATTTATGGAGGAAGGGTCGGGGGAGAATTGAGAGGAGGGTGGGCTAAGAATTAAGTGGCAGGCTAGTGCCACTTGCTTACTTGGATGGTTTTATAACTTAAATTGAACTTTAGTCTTTCTAGGGCCAAACTGAAAAATGAAAGGAATGATTAGGAATTTACAAATCTATTTTGTTATAAAGGAAAATAGAAAATAGAATGGTATTTCCAACCAATTTTGGACTCAGCCTGGAATATGTGTATATTTATATGTATAAAACGGAACCCAGTTTTTTCTTAGTGAATATTTTGTGTAACTTTAATATGTCAGGTGCAAAGCCTGCTCTTCCTTCTTTTCCCCTACCTCAGGTGACAGGTAGGCTAGGTGTCCTAGTTAGCCACATAAAAACGTCTCATGTCCTACCCCTTTTTTCTTCCTTATACCCCCTGGCTCCTGTTAATTCCATCCTGGAAATGTCTCCTGAATGCCACGCCCTCTCATTTCTCCCCACTGGAAGTCAGCTCTCTGTCCCTGGAGCATTCCATCCATAGTCTGTAATTCTCTAGCTGTGCTTATCGTATTATCGTGTCCATCTTATATCACAGTTACTTCAAAGGGTCAGCTTCCTGAAGGCAGGGGCTGGGGTCTTGTTCATACTCATATTTCCCTGTTCAACAGGACACCATGCTTGACGTTTAACAAATGTTTGCCGAATTTTATTGAATTGAACCACATGGTCCACCCATCAAGTGATCTTGAATATCCTTATTGTCCTAGCATGTAGCACACACTAGCACAAAGTGGGGTCGACTAGAGGTGGCTCACGGGGTTTCTTTACCTGAATTAGCAGCAAATCTTTAATAAGCTAGGAAATGTTCTTCCTTTCATTATTTTATTGTTATTATTTTTCTTTTTTCTTTTTTACAGGTAACAGATCTATGCTTATTCTTTTTTAAAATTGGAAATGTTCTTCTTTAAAGGGAGTTAGTTTGACACTAGTGAGTACAGGCATACTCAGGATAGATTTGATTTGTTTTGAAAATCCGAGTTTTAGAAGCGATTCGAAGCATTGTTTTTCTAGGAAGGACCCTCTAAACGTTTCCCAGATATGAAGGCAGCGAGTACTGAAGGCTTGCTCTGTTTGTCACAACTAAGAAAAGGATCTTGCCCTTTTTCACATTTTCTCTTGGGAATTTGGAGACCACTAGACTTGGCCTAGTCAGTGATGTTGCCTCTTTTCAAGTTGCAGGTCTGGGTTTCTGGTTCACAGACACAAGGGGGGACCGAGAGTGACCATTGTGGATAGCTCTAAGAGGTGCCCTGTGAGATAGTTCTCAAGGTCAGGCCTCTTGCTGAAGTACCAGGGAGCCTGGCTGTCGTTAGCCACTGTCATCAGCCTGCTTAGATCAGAAATGATTCATTCAACTAGACACGTTTTTTTTCTCCCCCCACCTTTTTTCATTTTGTTTTTGGTTTCTTCTTTTTGATTATATTGTCTCTTCTTTCCAAGGCCACCCTCTCTCTGTCTCTCGCTGCTGGTCTCTTTCAGGATTTTTCAGGCTACATTTCAGTGAATGTACATTGCCACCATTATCGATTATTGCTTCTATCTCCGATTTGTTTTCTAGAATGTTCCTGTGACTGGCCATGGCATATTGCCAGAAATCTAGAGATGTATTCCAGAGTGAGAAAGGTTGGGAGACACAGCCCCAGCCGTCACTGATACACTTGGATGAGCGCGATTGTATACAAGCTCAGGGGTGGGGGAAGGAGTTCATGCCCAAGTAGAGCAGCCCCATCATTTGAGGGCAGCACCCCATCTCGTGAAATTTGCTGGTTCAGTCCTCAAGTGACAGTGAGTGGAAATGCTGTCGCTGCCCCTGATGGAGATAAACGTTTTAAAAGAAAATGCCGATGGCGAGAACCAAGCGGGAGATGAGTGGGGAATGAGGCGTGCTAGTGAGGTCATGTGGTGCATGACCTCATGTGACTTCCGACAACTGTTTTTTCCAGCACAGTGAGAACTGTCAAGACAGACAGAGGCAAATGGTGTTCTTCCCTAGAGAGGAGAGTGCAAGACTTCTGGCTTTCTTGTGACCTAGACGTGGCCCAGACTTGGCCTGACTCCGTGGGTCCTGTCAGGAGCACCATCTCCACATGAGTTCTCCCATCCGTAAAAGGAAGATGGGTCATCCTTGTTCTGCCTGAGATTTTTTGGTTCCCTTTTTGTTTCTTGGCATGAAATGGAGTCACAGGACGATCGACTAGTCTGTCATTTATTCCAAGGTTAGATACTGGAGAGCTAGAGGAGAAAGAGGTGTGTCTTAGTGTCCAGGGAAGTCAGATGGTGCTTGTAGGCTGACATAATTGGAGTGTCTTTTTTTTTTTTTTTCTTAGCTCAGTCTGTTTTGCTGGTAGACCAGCGAAAGCCTTTCAGCGAGGTTCTTGCCTAGACCTGAGCACGAATCATAGGACACCTGAATATTTCCATACCTGGTAGCATATGGCCCAGCATTCTCTACTAAAACATTATTTTCACCCTAGGACAGGTTAGTTAGTTGCCATAAGTATTGGTTTGAACAGGGTTTTGTTCGAAAGGGGCCATGCTCTTGCTGGCACAGGGCTCTGTAAGTCCCCAGATCTCATTGAGAGCACAGTGCTGCATAAAACACACTCTGCTTTCGACTCCCCCACCCTCTAGTAGGTTCCTGCCCACTGAGATGATGCAGTATTTCTGAGCAGGATCACCCCCCGCTTCTTCTAGGTGTGTGGGAACCACAAGATGTTTGTCTCCTTAGCGATTCTCGAAATGACACATCCCCAGGAGCCCTGAGTCCCATGTGTCACTGTGTACTAGTTTCCTATTGCAGTTGTAACAAATTACTACAGAGCCAGTGGCTCAAAACAGTACACATTTGTTTTCGACAGATTCTGGAGGTCAGAAATCCATAGCAGGTGTCGCTGAGCTGAAATCCAGATGTTGGCGGGGCTGTGTGTCTTCTGGTGGCACTTGGAGAGTCCCAGCTCCTTGCTCTTTCCAGCTGCTGGAGGCCACCTGCACTCCCCGGCTCGCGACCCCCGTCCAGCCAGTGTTTGTGTCATTCTGACCTCTTCTCTCATCGTCACCTCTCCCTCTCTGACTCTCCTGTCTCCCTCTAATTTCCCTTATAAGGCCCCTTGTGATGACATTGGGCCCCCTGGATAACCCACAGTAATCCCTTCACGTCACATCTTTAATCTCATCAGCAGAGTCTCTTTTGCCCCACGAGGAGACATCTTCGCAGGTCCCGGGGATTAGGACGCAGACATCTTTGGGGCTGTCATTCTGCTGCCCACCTGCTGGCCGTCTCCTTCCCCTCTAACTGCGGCCCAGTGTCTGCCTTGGGGGCTGTGGGGCTCGATCGGCACTTGTGGGGTCAGTAGCTCAGCGCCACCAGGCAAACAAGTCTCTGCCCCACTCGTGTTGTGCAACTGGAGACTCTGAGGTAAGGTCGTTCCCCCTGGGAACAGTTCAAGGCAGAATCTAATGAGCACGGCTGGTTGCGGAAGTGCTGCAGTCCTGGGTACCACCTGTCTGCCACACGCTTGTCCAAATGAGACCTCGTCAGCCACTAAATGATAATAAATCCCATTCGCTGACCCCTCCACTCGTGCCAAGCACTGGGCTTAGCATTTTATCTATATTGTCTCAGTCCTTAATTCTGTGAGGTAGGTAGTATTTGGGGAAGAGGTATAAAACTTTTTAAACCACAGAAGCCATATTAATTGGATAAAAATGAGAAAATATTATAAACATTCTTATTAGCTGCTTCTTTTAAGTCAGAACAGTAAAAACATCATGTTTGCTGGGATCAAATACGTAAAAGGGCTAATGAAAACCAACGGCCCCTTCTCCCCCAGCCCTGCTCCCCTAGTTGGTTTTCGTTGTTTCTTCTGGAAGCTAGGTTGGTTCTGTTCTGGGCCACATTTCTCAAGTGGAAAGCAGGCTTACAGAGGTTAAGGAATTTGTCTTAGTTCAGAAGGGCAGAGCTGGGCTATGTGCTGAGCTGGTTAAAATCCTGGAGTCATTGCCTGGTTTCAACCACAGCCATACCACTGATAAGATTCTGGGCTCTGGTTTCTCCACCTGTGACATGAAGTTGACTCATAGCATCTTTCTCATACAGACACTCAAATGAAAGAGTACACACAAAGAGCACTTACGCAGAGTTTGGCATAACGTAGGAACTTGGTAATTCACCGTTACTATTACTGTTATTTCAAACCAGAAATCCCAAGCTCTTACCATACGTTTATTCTCTCACTTGGGAATATAACAGGGAGCAAAAACACACAGTCTCTGCCCTCATGGTCAGGAAGAAAGACCTTAGTCAAAAGGAGCACAGTGACAGGTGTGACATTCCTGCCGCAGAAGCACTGCAGAGGAGAGGCACAGGGGCTGCGAGACTGTGTGATTGTAGGGTTTGACTTAGTGAGGGCAGAGGTGGCAGCCCCAGGAAGTGGTGGTGAGCTGAGATCTGAAGAGGAGGAGGAGATAACACCTAGTTGATTAAGGGCCTTGCTGGCAGTCACTGGCATGTGCAAAGGCCCTGTGGTGGGGTGTGGCGTGCTTAAGGGACTGAAAGAGGTCACTGTGGCACTCTGCTGTTATGCTTCTAACCTCGGAGGCCCCTGAAGGCTTCCTGCGCCTTCTGCCTGCTCACTGGTTGTGGCTGCGGACAGAGGTGAGCCAGTGCAGTGTGGGAGCAGGATGGCTTGAACGAATGGTGCTGCCATGCATACCTCAGCTGAGGCTGAGTCTTCAGTGTCTGTACTCGGGGATCATGGGCTGAGTGGGTGGGGCCACAGGATCTGAGTTTTTGCAGACACTGGCTCGGGCAGGAGGGTTTGGGGTTGGAGACGGTGGGCCCTGGCTCCCAGCTGCCGTTGCCGTGACATCCTTCTCTGGGGCCAGGTGAAGAAGATGGGCAAGCTTGGGCTTCTGGCCATCAATATCCCTGAGGAGTTGAGTGGTGCCGGACTCGATTATCTGGCGTACGTCATCGCCATGGAGGAGATCAGCCGGGGCTGTGCCTCCACTGGAGCCATCATGAGTGTCAACAACGTAGGTTCCCCCTCCTGGGCTCCTGAGCCCCTGGGACACACCGGTGGAGGAGAGCCTTCTGTGGGTGGGCAGTTACTCAACCACGTGTCCCAGCATCTGGGGCAAAGCCAGTTTTTGGCTCCCAGACCCTGACCTCTTCTGGACTTGGTCCTTCGAGGGCTCTGAGAGAGGAGGCCTTGGGGTGGGGTCCACTGGCAGGCAAGTGTGTCCGGGCTCGAAGGTCTCCAGCCACTCCCCTCTGTCCTCCACAGTCCCTCTACTTGGGGCCCATCTTGAAGTTTGGCTCCAAGGAACAGAAGCAGCAGTGGATCACACCTTTTACCAGCGGTGACAAAATTGGCTGCTTTGCCCTCAGTGAACCAGGTATCACAGTGAGTCAGTGGTCTCCCCATCCCCTCACCTCAGAGTCAGGGCGACAGATCAGACTGGAGCTGGGCTGCCCCAGGGGAGAGCCAGGAGCCAGGGCCTGTGCTGGTTTGGGTCAGCTGCTCATAATTTATGGGCTTTCAGTGTGAGCAGCTGGGGGTGGGTCTGGCAAAGAGCACTTGGTCGCCTCAGCTGAGCTGGGCAGGGCACTTGGCCTTCGGGTTTTGGCCTGAAGCTGCCAAGCTGCTGCACTGCCTCCCTTTGCTCTGAGAGCTTTAGGAGCTGGCATTACCCTGGAGCTTTCTCCCCGGGGGCCAGACCCTGACTCTTTGGAGCCTGGTCGTGCTCACCAGCTGGGAGTTGAGGCTGGGTTACCTGCTGAGTTGACAGCAGTACCCTTGGTGGGGGTGGGGGTGGGGTGGAGGTGGCGCTGGATTCTGAGTCTGTGTGTGGGGCAGGGAATGGCAGTGACGCAGGAGCCGCCTCCACCACTGCCCAGGAGGATGGTGACTCGTGGGTCCTGAATGGCACCAAAGCCTGGATCACTAACTCCTGGGAGGCCTCAGCCACCGTGCTTTTTGCCAGCACCAACAGAGCCTTGCACAACAAGGTAGGGACCCCAGAGAGAGGGCCAGTGAGACCTCTGTGCTGCAGTCATTTCATAGTTTCTAGATCTTAATCCTTGTGGCCTGATGGATCCGTGTCTGCTCTGGGGCACCTCGGGGCATTTGCTTTTCCTCCCCGCCTGCTGTTGGCCTGGGGCTGGAGTCTGCACCTTCCCCAGAGGGGCCAGCAGAGGGTGTAAGGGCCAGAGGTCTTGAGGGAAGCAGAGGGAAGGGACTGGAGTTGGTGTCTGCTGTGGTTTGTGAAAGGGGTGTGGCCTAGGACAACATCTGGGTAAGTCACTGAATGGGTTTGTCTGCCCTTTCAGGGCATCAGTGCCTTCCTGGTTCCCATGCCGACACCTGGGCTCACACTGGGGAAGAAGGAAGACAAGCTGGGCATCCGGGCCTCGTCCACAGCCAACCTCATCTTTGAGGACTGTCGCATCCCCAAGAACAACCTGCTGGGGGAGCCGGGAATGGGCTTCAAGATAGCCATGGTGAGCCCAGCCCAGGGACGGGGACCCCAGGGTGAGGTCCTGGGGCCCAGCTGGCCACCACTGACCGGGGCATTCCCCATAGCAAACCCTGGACATGGGCCGAATTGGCATTGCTGCCCAGGCTCTGGGCATCGCCCAGGCTGCCCTCGACTGTGCTGTGAACTATGCTATGAATCGCAAGGCCTTTGGGGCGCCCCTCACCAAGTTCCAGGGCATCCAGGTAAGGAGGCGGAGACTTCTGGAGCTTAGCCTGGATGCTGGAGAGAGGGAAGCTCCGGCAGACAAGCTTTTACCTTCTCCCGCGGTCACCTTTCTCCCGGGTCCCGTTCTTGGAGGGAGGGCGGAGCACGAGGGCGGGACGGGCAATGACTGACTGGTGGGCTGGGGCCTGGTTGTTGCAGTTCAAGTTGGCGGACATGGCCCTGGCCCTGGAGAGTGCCCGGCTGCTGACCTGGCGCGCCTCCATGTTGAAGGATAATGGAAAGCCTTTCATCAAGGTGCCTGTGGGGAAGGGGTCTCCCCAAGCATTGGCCCTTTGGTGGGCAGAGGGACTGAGGGAGAAGTCTGAGTGGGGTCCCAGTTCCTAGGGGCTGTGGACCTATTGCTCCAAGGGGAGGCTCTCCCGCGCCCTCCTCTGCTGAGGAGCCCTGTGCTAGGGGCTCCCCACTAAATAAAGCTTTTGACCTCACCATCCCCTGTGATTAGGAGGCAGCAATGGCCAAGCTGGCTGCATCAGAAGCTGCAACTGCCATCAGCCACCAGGTGAGTATTCCGGGTGCATGGCCGCGGTACCTGTGCGGGGCCCCGAGGTAGAAGAGCAGAGTGCGTGCCAGCTGCCCCTCCCCACGCTGGTCCTTATGGGTAGCTGATCCTGCCCCCGTCTTTCTCCCTCCTGAGCCTCTGCTTTCCACCTTAGGCCATTCAGATCCTGGGTGGCATGGGCTACGTGACAGAGATGCCGGTCGAGCGGCACTACCGTGATGCCCGCATCACCGAGATTTACGAAGGCACCAGTGAGATCCAGAGGCTGGTCATCGCGTCGCACCTGCTCAAGAGCTACCAGAGCTGAGCCCTGAGGATTGGGTGGGGGCCAGAGTAACCAGGCCTCAAAGTAGCAGAAGTTGTGCTCTCTCAGGCCTTGTGAAGGCTGTGAGGCTCGGTCATTATTAGAAGCACCGTTAACCTGTTCCTTATAAAACATAAATGAGTGCAGGTGGGTGGTCTGATTCATAGTTTGGGAACTGATTGTAAGTAATAAAGCATACCCGTTCCCCTAGCCTCGTGTCCTTGCCTGGGGGCTGCTGGGGAGGGAAGATTGTCCTTTAGTCTGCTTTCTGACAAACCCCACCCTGAGTGTGTGGCTGACTGTAGGAGGGTCCTTCTCTGTCCTGGGAGAACGCCAGCAGGAGGCAGGGTTGACACAGTTCAGGAAAATAAGGAGCTGGGACCAGTGGGCCTGGGTGACTGTCTAGGAGGGTGACCACTGAGCCTTCAGGCTGGAGGAAGGAGGAGGGCAGGGAGGAGCAAAGCTGTAGAGGGCCCGGTATGAGGAGGTGGAGACTTTAAAGCATCCTTTCCACGTATTATTTGGGTGCTGCCAGGGAGCTAGCACGGAGCCTGGTAGGGAGATGATAATGGTACCAACAGGGCTGGCTTGGGGCCAAGGTACCTCTCTGGAGCCGGAACCCACGTTTTGAGTCACTGCGGCCCAATGAGGTGAGTGAAGCTGCTGGAAGTGAAAACAAAAAAAGGGAGGCGGGGAAAAAGCAATGACAAGATTTCAAAGGAGTTGGGGACAGCCCTCTGCAGAGCAGGAAGGGTAGGTGGGCAACGGAAAGATGACCACCGCCGAACAAGGCGCGCCATCGCCACGTGCGGATTTATGTGCCCCGCCCAGCGTTTCGCCTCCCTTCCCCTCCCCGCCCCTGGAAGCAGCCTCGAGCCGCTGGCTCCACCCAGAGGCTCGCTCCCACGCTCCGGTGCACCTGTGGCCACCAGCGCCTGGCCTTGGGTGTTCTGGAGCTGAGCGTGGAGAGCCGAAGGGGCCCCCTGCAGGGCGGAGAGGAGCTCCTCACTAGCTTGCCATCCACCACGAGCGGGCGGGGCACACAGGTGAGGTCCTCCTGCTAAAGAGACACCTTGGGGGCGCGGGCTGGTATCAGCTTCCCGCTGAGCTCTGGTCGTCAGGCCGCCTGGGCTGCAGGCCAAAGGCTGGGTGAACTGTGCTAACTCTTGCTCCAGGTAAGGCCTCCCCAACACCGTCTGTGGGCTTCTGGGGGCCCCTGTCCCCACTTTGGGTTCAGGTGCAAGCTGAAGGTGGGGGAGCGGGGTGGGTTTCAGGACTTTCCCCAGGAGCAGCCAGGTTTGACTCGTCCCACCTGGAAGCAGATGAGGGTCTCACTCCTTGAGTCACCGTCCCCCAGGAACAGCAGGGAAGTGGGTGTTCAGGTGGCCCCGTGACCCCTCCTGGCCCAGAGGAGGATGAGGAAACAGCACGGTGGTTGAAGTGGTTTTTGGGCCCTTCCCAGGTAGTGTGGAGGAGGAGGGGACTTTGAGGCTCAGAGGGGCACAGAGGGAGCCAAAATGAATCTTAGTTCCAGGTGGAGACAGCCAGGCTGGGAACCCAGCTCTCCCCGCTCAGGGCCTGGCTCCTCCTGGCTGGGTGTTCAGCCCTACCTGTCCTATCTGCTGAAAAGCGTCTGGGCCTTGAAGGGCGGAAGACAGCCAGCTGGGGCGCTCTGTTCCTCCAGGGAGAACGTCTGGGTACAGGGGTGCGGGGAGCAGGCCAGTTCCCCAGCAGCAGTCTCAGCTGGGTTTCTGCTTCTCAGGTGAGCCTGGCTCAGACTGGAAAGAACCTCAGCCTCAGGGCCAGATTGTCCTCCATTTCATAGCTGAAATGCTCCAGGCTCTGAGCCAAGGTCCTCTGGAGAGCTTCAAGAGGCTCTCGGGTCAGAGGTCTGCCCCTGGGAGGAGAGTCAAAGCACAAACCCTCGGCTTTGGCAGGGAGCAGGCCTCTGTTACTTGAAGCTCCTCCAGCAGAGAACTAAATGCTGAACTCTGCCCCTAGGTCCATTTGAACCTGAACTATTTATCACGTCCCTTTGCGTCCAGTATGTATTTCCTAAGAACAAAGACAGTCACGCAACAAAGAGATAGTTACCAAGGTTGGGAAGCTTCCCCGGGGTAAACTGTCCATCCACAGACTTCACCGACAATTGGCCAGTTGTCTGTCTTTCATAGCATTTGTTTTTCAAGGTCCAGGATCATGCAGTGCATTTAATTGAGAGGTCTCAATACAGTTTTCTTGTTTTTCTCTCGAGGTCAGTTTTGCAGACTGAATTTGTTTGTCACGACATTGGCATTTTGAAGCATCCAGGCCGGTTATTTTGTAGACTGTCCCTCAGTCTAGATCAGTCTGATGGTTTCTTCATGATTAGGTTCATGGTGTGTATTTTGGGCAGTGATAGTGTAGTGAAGCCCCTATTTTATTCCTGACTTCAATAATTAGTATTTGATCTTTTTCTTAAGAAATCTGAGGTTTATTAATTATTTTCGTCTTTCTAAAGAACAGGCTTTTGGCTTTTGACATGCAGCATTGTGTTCTTGTTTTCTTTATTTTTAAATTGAGGTATAAGTGACATACATTATATTAGTTTCAGGTGTACAACATAGTGATTCGATATTTGATTAAACAGCATACCTTGCTTCATTGTGCTTCACAGATGTTGCCTTTTCTACAAATTGGAGGCATAGCTCTACCAGCAGAAAGATTACCACTTGCTTTATTGGGATAGTATTGTGAAATCACCACAATAAATCTAGTTAACATCCGTCATCATGCATAGATTTTTTTGTCTTGTGATACCTTTTAAGATTGACTCTCTTCAACTTTCAAATATGCAATACAGTTTTATTTTTGTCGCCATGCTATACATTACATTCCCAATATTGTTTTAAAAATTAATTTTATTTGATAGTTTCATTGTTTCTTTCTACTTTTTTGGATTTAATTTGCTGTTCTTTTTCCAACTTCCCGGGATGAATGTTGATTGACTTTTTCCGTCCTTTTTCTAATAAAGGAATTTAAAGTTTTGCATTTCCCTCCAAGCATGGCTTTAGCTTCGTTTTATAAATTTCGCTATGTTGTATTTTCATCATCACTCAGTTTTCTGAGTTCCGTAATGCTTTCTCCTTTGACCTATCAGTTATTTAGAAGAGAATTATTTTATTAACATGGAGTTTCCTTGGTAATTTTTGCTATTGAGTTTTTAAAAATTGTAAAATACACATGACATGAAATTTACCATTTTAACCATTTTTCTCTAAAAAATGTAGAATTCAGTGACTTTTAGTACATTTACATTGTTACGCAGCCACCACTACTATCTAGTTTCATTTTCATCAACTGAGAAGGGAGTTTGGCATCTATGAATTTGTTTTTCTTACCCTCGATGCACTTTTTTCTCCTGAGTTTCCTGTCTTTCTCTTGTTAGCAGAAGATCCTCACAGTCTAGATAGTAATAATTCCTGCTTGTTTTAGACATTGCAGGCTTCTTCTCCTGGTCTATGTTCTCTCTGTTAACTTCTCTCCAAAATAACCCTAGCCCCAAAGTAAACCTCTCATGCATTTAGCAGTTTCCGTTCCTTCTTCCCCTCAGCCCCTGGCAACCACCAGTCTATTGGATTTATCTAGTCTGGACATTTCCTATAAAAGGAATCACACGTAGGTGGCTTTTTATGCCTGGCTTCTTCCATCTAGCATAATATTTTGGAGGTTCATCCATGTCGTATCATGTATCAGTACTTCGTGAATTCATTCCTTTTTATGCCTGAATAACTTTTCTCTTGTTTATCCATTTGGCTTGTTCTTTTTGGCTCTTTTGAATAATGCTGCTATGGGCGTCGGGTATAAGTTTTTGTGTGGTCATATGTTTTTCCTTCTACATACCTAGGAGTCTGGGTCTTAGAGTAACTATGTTTATCTTGATGAGGAATGCCTGCTTTTGTGGGGGGAGAGATTTTCCTGATACATAAAGGTTCATTCATTCTTTTCGTTTTCAGTCTCTGTTTGCTGGTAAGTGTGTCTCTTTAGGAAAACAACGTATCTCTGGATCTTCTCTTCCCTCTTACCCACATCTAAGAGTCTCAGCTTTGGAGAGTTTAACCCATTTGTATCTATTGTAAGCATTTTATATTTTATATTTCTGCCATCTTTTATATTTTCCACCTTCCGTTTTCTTTTGCGTTCCTTTTTCTCCCTTTTTGCCTTTGATTGCATACACTGAATTTTCCTGTTTTTTTAAGTTTACGCCTTCTAATTTTATTCTGCTGGTTACCTCTAACTTAAACTGGTACTTATGTTTGATTTTTGTCTATCACTCTATTTAACTTATATTCACATCTTTTCCCAAGACAGGAAGAAAACCTTACCATGATCTCATTTTCTCGTCTCCCCTCCCCGTCCTTCACTTCCATTTCCCTCTCTCCAGCCATGTTCACGTCCAGCGTTTTGGTTCAGGGTTCTTACAGGTGTTTCCTCTCCCTCCCTTCTTAGTTTCCTCCCACTCAGTCACAGTGAAAATACGAAGTTTATTTTCTCATCCCGTTTCCCATGTATCTCCACATTCTGCTGGATTTATTTACGTCCTTACTGAAGTACTTTATCCAAGATTGTTTCCTCGATGTCCTTTGTATGGTAAATGTTCTGAGGGCCCAGAATATCTTCTTACTTCTGGTGTCACTGTCAAGAAGTCTGACCCTGACCCGACTTTCTCTTTTTCCGTTGTAGGCAAACTGCTCGTTAGAAGGCTTGAAATGGTTTTTCTCTTTACCTTTGCTTTTCTTAAGTTCTACCCATAACATGCCCAGAGGTAGGATTTTCATCATTTAGCCTGCTTAGCATTCAATGAGTCTTTGCTTTTATCTTTAATTTTGCCATGTTCTTGGATGTTATTTCTTGAAATATTTTTGCCTTTTTGTGCATTTTTTCCTTCTAGACACTATTGCATGGATGTTGACGTTCAACTTCCGGCATCCGTATGTCTTTTTTTATTCTATTCTCCCATCTCTTTGTTTCCCAGTGACTTCTGGGAGATTTTCTCAACTCGAATCTTCTGTTTTACTATTTTTTTCCCCTTCAGTTGTCCTGTTATACTATTTATTTCATCTATTGTGTTATTTCAACTATTGTATTTGTCCCAATTCAGTATTTTCACTTGGCTCTTCGCTGTAGCTGCCTGTCCCTGCTTCACGTGACCACTGTCCTTGTCTCATTTC